TATTTTTTCAAAAAGTTTTAGACGATTTAAAAAAATGTAATTTTTCTTTAATTTGAAAAATCAAAAACTCTTTTTAAACAATTCAGATGGTAATTGTGGGAATATAAAAAAAGACTGAAAATTGTGATTGTATTCAGGTCATTGACTACTGTATTCATTATGATTGTCGTAATAATCAGGGTACCATTTTTAAAACAAAATAAAGGTGACAAATAAGTAATTTAAGTATAATTTCTGTAAGCAATTATGAACTATTTGATCACTTAAAATTTCCGGTTCATGACTCGCATTGAAGTCTTTGTTTTTCTTTTATAAAATTATTTGTGAATATTTTAGTAAAATTATCTAGTTAAAGAAGTTTGTTTTTACAGTCATGAAAGGATGTTAAAATATTTCAGAGTTGACGTACTTCTTGGATATTTACTAATGATGGAGGTGAATGAAATGTATCGACCATTAAAACTCGTTGCTGTTCCCTTGTTTCATTGAAATGAATTAATGAGAACTTTACAGGGATTTTACTTTCAGCTAGCAATTCGTTTAAAAATACAAAGAACTTTGATTTTGAAAAATTCAAGATTCAAGATGCTGGTATAAACCAGTATATACTAAGTATTAATTTCTAAAGCAATACACAACTGTTGATTTACATAATATGAATCATAATTAATTGTATTTTTTGTCTAGTTGTAAGAAAGCTTTCTTCTTACTTCTCAAGATTAATGATAAAAACAAAAGAAATTAAACCAAAACGACTTCTGCTCAAAACTTACAGCGTTTCATTATTTATGCAATCTTGAATTTAAATCTATAAAGGCGAGAATCATAATATAATATATATCATAATTGATTCTTTTACATAACTCCATTTCCTTTTAATTACCTTAAATAAATGTAAGCATTAAATAATTACTCATCATTGTGCTGTAGGGAAATTGTGAAATAAGCGCTTAATAAATTGTAACACATGAAGTGGATATGTAATTTTTTTGTGTAATTTCCGTAATTCTTTCAAACTTAAAATTTTTTTCCAATAACTACCTTCAATTTGTTTTGCACTTGACCTTAAATGTTGTATTTGAAACTTGTTAAAAGAAAACAAACAGTAAAAAGGAAAGAAAGAAATTTTGTGATGACTTTCGCTTTTATTTATTTTTTTCTCATGATTGACTTAAACCTTTCCGGGCAATTTTTATATCTTCTGGATATAATCCATTGCAAAAATGAGAAATATTTATCTCATTTAATAGAGGACTGAAAAATGATACCACAGGAAATATTTCTGTGTACTCAACTTTCTCCATAGGATTTGAAAGATATTTTAAAAAAGTTCAAAAGATGATTGAGCAGATAAGATATTCGAGTCTTAATTATTAAATACGCGTTTATAAAATTTCTTATTTCTGGCAGTTTAATCACTCAGCATCAATCTTTAATTACTGGTGACCAGCATGTTGAGAGTATTTGTTTTAAATATTTAAATTTTTTATTTTGTGGGTATCAATAGATTTTTAAGACATTCTTTATGGTAAGATCACTAAGAATCACTCATCCTTGACAATCTAATATAAGCAATTTACGGTACTTAAACAGCAAGCTCATAAAAATTGAGTGTAGTCATATTTATATCCAATTACTCAACGTGGATTTTTTTGCGTAAGCCTCTTATTAGTAAACACATGCTTCACTAGGGCAGTGTGTCGCTAGACAATTGTATCTCAGAAAATAAATAAATTTCACTTAACTCCTATAAAAAAAAACAATGAAGCTAATGTTTGAATATGTAGAAATATTAAAATAATGAAAAAATTTCTCTGCATATGATAAATATGAAACTTTCGGATTATAAAAACTATGACAGTGTTATAGCCTGTCTGTGAAAAACTTAATTGCTGATTCTCAAACAAAAAGCAAACAATTAAACATTGCATTTCTTTGTTATTTAATATCTATCTATCATCTCTATGGATTCATAGAAGTAAAAACACAATAGAATAGAAGTCGGATGGTAAAATTTCTCTTAAGCAAGTGCAGTGGAAAAATATATGAACTGTTTAAAGAAATGAAGCAATTTTTTCCACTTTATAAGCCCGTATCGCAGTGCATAAATTAAAAAAGATTTTGAGGAATGCGATAAAATTTATGCAATATTTACCTGCACTTATATACAAATAGCTATTTTTAAAATAACGCAAATGAGGACGACTTTGGAAATCTCAGATTAATGTCTGCTTTAAAAAAGTTGTGTTTTCCTGAACTTTGATCTTAGTGATATGTCTAGTGTAGACTTTTATGCAATTAATTTAATATCATAAAATGTTGCCAACCTGTCCAAATACAAATTAATTCTTAAACAGTACTTTCACTTGTTGTTTTTAAATACCTAGTTAATGAATAAAAACATTGTATAATTTTTGATCTATGAAAACGAAAAAATATTTGGATGTTAAACTGAAATTTTTCATGATCAAATTAAGTGTAACGAAAACCGCGTTTAAATTATAACGAATAAGTGAAAAGAGATGACAGCATTTCATAAGGAAGGAAGTTATTGTTTTCATTGTGGTCATTTTACTCATGATTTGAGAAATTTTTTCGCAATGAAAAATAAAATTAATCTTAATTTAAGCATTTTTTTTTTCATTGTGAAAGTGATTTTTTTGTCGGCAATCTTTTTGCCAAAATTATGCTGCGGTTTAAGATTGTTAACAATAAAAGGGATCATAAATTTACGTAACATGAAAGAAATGAAAAAAAAAATCATAAACGTAAAGGTGAAAGATGAAAATTTTATGAAGAAAACGAGTTTAGCTTTCAAAGCTCATGTACATATCTTCACCACGAACAACTGTGATTTTGGTCATTCAATCACGTTACAATGATCTCATCATGAAGTTGAACTTTCTGACTGATTTCATACAAATAATTTGCAATTATGAGAAAATTTTTGGACGAACTTTTATATAACTTTACCACGTCATATTGTATTACTGATGTTCACGGAGAGTCCATTAGACATAAATTTTTCCAATTCATCATAAATCACGTGCCTTTTATGCAATAGCATCAATTATTCTCATGACTTTATTTGCCACCAATTATCTTTTTGAAAAACTATTTGAATTGCGTCAAGTAATTATGCTTGTAGAATTTACACTTCTGCAGCATGAAACAACCTTAGACATCTACTCATTTTAACTCTTCATTATTTGATAATTTGCAGTTGCAATAAAGAAACAATAATGCTGAAGTTTGTTAATGAATGCAATTTATGCTCTAATGTATGTAAATAATTGAAAGTCAAAGCTTGACTATTCCATATTATTTCTTATTCCAAAATTATTTATTGCAAAAACACTTCAATACCTAATCTAATACAGTCATTTAACAATCAAAGCATAAATAAAATTAACATCATATGTATGTTATTGATTTTTTTATCAAAAGAATTCAATTACCTGATTTTGCTTGCGGTTCAAAAATTCCCTCCACACAATTAAGAAACAAACAATAACTTACTATTCATAAAGCAGGAAGTGGGTGCAGCGTCCATCATACCTTTTAAATTCGTAAAACATATAAAATGTAAAACTCATCGTTTTTTGAACTTCTCATTTTTTCTTTAGTCGTCAAATATGATGCGCACAATATTCACAGTGCTGGCACTTGGTGCAACATTAGCTTTAGCTCAACGTCGCTTAGCTTTACCAGATCCAAGATCCTGTGCAAATCGTGTTAGACATGCAACATATCGAGATGCTCGAGGAGTTGCACATTCCTATTTCTTCAGTTGGGAGCATCAACCGACACGCACTTTAGAAGTTGATTGGCTTGATGCTAGAAATATTTGTAGAAGACATTGTATGGATGCCGTTTCACTTGAAACACCACAAGTAAGTTACGAAGTCTAATTTAATATTTTCAAAATTTTATTTTTAAAAATTTAAGGAAAATGAATTTGTCAAACAACGAATTTCTCGTGGAAATGTTAGATACATTTGGACATCAGGACGCAAATGTAACTTTGCTGGATGTGATCGAGCAGGTAAAGTTCATCATGTTTTAACTGATAAATCGTTTTTTTTATTATTTTTTTTATAACTTCATTTAAGATCTTCAACCACCAAATGAAAATGGATGGTTTTGGTCAGGATCGGGAGTTAAAATTGGACCAACAACTCAAAGAAATACAGGTGATTGGAGCTATACAGGAGGATATAATCAAGCACAACCAGACAACAGAGAAGCAGCACAAGGAAATGACGAATCATGCCTTTCAATTCTCAACAATTTTTACAATGATGGCCTGAAATGGGTTAGTTGTCAAACATTTCATTTATTTTCAGTAAATTTAATTTTATTTTTTCTTCTTTGTTTAATACTTCGAAATCTTTAGCACGATGTTGGTAAGTTGATATGATTTCCACTATATTTGAAAAAAATTCTTAACTTTGTTATTTTTAGCTTGTTACCATCTTAAACCATTTGTTTGTGAAGATTCAGATGAACTCTTGAACTTTGTGCGCTCCAGAAATCCAGGACTTCGACTTTAATGTGAAAAATATTTTGGTGTTAATTTAACAGAAGCATTTTACATTTTACGTAGAAATTAAAATTATTTGTTTTAAAAACATCTGTTGATGAAATGAAGAATAATTTAAATAATTTATATAACAATCGTTTTGAGTTCATTTATCATGTTTTAACTATCATTCTAGTTTTTTCTTCTTTTAATGTTATTTGTACAAATTGAAAATAAAAGAAACTTACCTAATTGAAAATACTAAGAGGTCTAGAGCTTTTGTAATTACTTAAAGATTTAATTATATTTTAGCTGTGAAAATCGATCTTCTGCTTTAAATAACTTGAAATAACTCATACATTTGGAATGTATCTCAAAATATGAATATCACTCAGGGTATTACTTTTTGATACCAATTGTGTCAATACAAATAATTTCTGAGTTTAAATTTCAGCTTCTCAATTTAGAGTAGTTTTAACTCCTAACAAGTCAACACGATCTTCGAATATGCAGAATAACTTTGGATTGCTAGATGAAGAAAGAGGATTTAGTTTCAGAAATTGCAAACGGTAGATAAATAAAAAGAAGAAAAGTTGTGTCATTATTGGACATAGCCATTTAGAATCCTTTTTTATTTAATAGGAATGAGTCTCTCATTTCAAGTGGCTATAAACAACCAAATATTACAAAAACGGGAACTACAATTTGTGGAGTTATTTATAAAGATGGTGTTGTATTAGGATGTGACACAAGAACAACAAGAGGGCGCATCGTTTGGGAAAAATGTTGTGAAAAAATTTATAAAATTCAAGAACACATTTACGTAGCAGGAGCGGGAACAGGTAAAATTTCAAAATTTTCATTAAAAATAAATTATAGAATCATTTCTGGATTATTTTTAAGCTGCTGATATGGATGCAATGGTTAAATTGATGCGAGCAAATTCAGAGTTTCATCGATTGAATACAAATAGACAAATAATTCCAGTTTCATATTTAAGGACCATTACTAGTCGAATGTTTTTTCAATATAGCGGAGCGATATCTTGCCACTTTATTATCGGAGGATACGACAATAAAGGTCCACATATATTTATAGTTCATAAAGAAGGTTTCACAATGAGTTTACCATATGCTACAATGGGCTCTGGAGGCTATATTGCAATGTCTATATTTGAATCTAAATGGAAGCCAGATATGGAAGAAAATGAAGCAAAAGAGCTTGTAGCTGATGCAATTACTGGAGGAATAATGAATGATTTAGGATCTGGATCGAATGTAGATCTGTGCATAATTAAGAAGAATTGCTCTGAGAAAATTTATGCTTATAGAAAGGTTGGTATTACTGGAGCTAGAATCTTTGATTATAGTATGAAGCATGGAACTACTGCGGTTGATTTAAAGGCAATTAAAAATATAGATGTGGATATAATTGAAGAAAAAATTGAGAAAATGAATATCTAGTATGGAATGCGAGTTAATACTTTTATGCATTCAACATTGTCGATTTTCTAAACAAATAAAATTGCGAATTTCTCGAAAATACTTTTTTTGGTTCAAGAATAAAATTTTAAACTTCACTAATCATTAAATCATCAATACTCGTGGTTCTCAAATACTTCAAAACTAAAATTTTATTTAATCTCTCTCGACTTTAGAAAAACTCTCAATTAATATTTTCTCTCTTTAATTACTCACTTAAGTACCCACAAATGAGCTATTTTAGTCTATTCTGTAATTTAAAACTGTCAAGATGTTGATGGCAGAAATTTATAGTTTATTTTTCTTGGCTTACATTGTAGCCTTAGGATTTTTGTCGAACTACTTTTTGCATCGATTAGACACAAAGGCATTGCTTAAATCCCAAGAAGTAAGTTATTAAAAAAAATTATTAATAATTATGTAAGAATAAATCTTTCATATTCACACAAAATTTTCAATTTTTGTGAATATATTGTTTTTGGTTTTTCGGAAAATCAGTTTTTTTAACTTTCTGCTTCAGGCTTACGAAATCAACCCAAATACCTGATATGTAAAAGTTTGTGCCTCGAAATACCTATCTAATGGTGAAAACAATTTTTCATTTGGCAGTTCCAGTTCCAAAAACTCGCAAAAAAGGGCATTCTGTTGGTTAGTTAGTTAATCGGTGCGATAACTCGCTTCAAACTTAATATTAAGACTTCCGGTTTTTTGCTTCTGATAGATAATGGCTACCGCAAGAACTGTATTGTTTTTGGAGTCATAAGATGCTTCCAGTGAGGCACAAGATGCATAAACATTTTTGTATGGGAAAAGTTTAACCGATTATTACATAACATATTTATTTTTTGTTTACAACGGAAATATTTGTTGGAATTAGTGTGATATTAATAAAATGGTTGTGACAGTATGCATTAAGTTAAATGTATGTGAAAAAATGTTGGAACTAGCAAGTTCCTTTAGAAGATTCAGCATACTGTATCTATGTTATTAAATACAAACTTTATTTGTATCATAATGAAAATATTTTTTTTTTGTTTAATTCTTAATTTTTTTCCTACTCGATTATTTTGTTTTTGTTTCAAACAGGCTTATACTTACTGGATCTTATTTCCAACGACAGCACAATTTCAATCATATTCACACAAATTTTCAATTTTTTTTCAATCAATTTTACTTTCACAATGTCTATTAAATGATACATAATATAATTAAATAATTGAATTAATTTTCCACAATGATTTCTCACTTTCAACAAATTTTCAAAGTTCACTGCGAACTTTTTCTTATTTTCTTAATTATAAAATTGATTGAAATTGAAATTGTCAAAGCCTACTTAGATCTTTTTCTTATTTCTTAATTATAAAAAAAATTCAAATTGAAATTGTCAAAGCCCACTTGTACTTTTTCTCAAACTTTACTGGATCACAGTTGCAAGTTTCAGACATGCTCAACTTTTACTGGATCTTGGATTTAAGTTTCAGACATGATTAACACTTTACTGGATCTTGATTTTAAGTTTCAGACATGCTTAAAACTTTACTGGATCTTGATTTTAAGTTTCAGACATGATTAAAACTTTACTGGATCTTGATTTTAAGTTTCAGACATGCTTTAAACTTTACTGGATCTTGGTTTTAAGTTTCAGACATGCTTTAAACTTTACTGGATCTTGGTTTTAAGTTTCAGACATGCTTTAAACTTTACTGGATCTTGGTTTTAAGTTTCAGACATGCTTAAAACTTTACTGGATCTTGGTTTTAAGTTTCAGACAAGATTAAAACTTTACTGGATCTTGGTTTTAAGTTTCAGACATGATTAAAACTTTACTGGATCTTGGTTTTAAGTTTCAAACATGCTTAAAACTTTACTAGATCTTGATTTTAAGTTTCAGACATGCTTAAAACTTTACTGGATCTTGATTTTAAGTTTCAGACATGCTTATAACTTTACTGGATCTTGATTTTAAGTTTCAGACATGCTTAAAACTTTACTGGATCTTGATTTTAAGTTTCAGACATGCTTAAAACTTTACTGGATCTTGGTTTTAAGTTTCAGACATGGTTAAAACTTTACTGGATCTTGATTTTAAGTTTCAGACATGCTTAAAACTTTACTGGATCTTGGTTTTAAGTTTCAGACATGATTAAAACTTTACTGGATCTTGGTTTTAAGTTTCAGACATGCTTTAAACTTTACTGGATCTTGGTTTTAAGTTTCAGACATGCTTAAAACTTTACTGGATCTTGGTTTTAAGTTTCAAACATGCTTAAAACTTTACTGGATCTTGATTTTAAGTTTCAGACATGCTTTAAACTTTACTGGATCTTGATTTTAAGTTTCAGACATGCTTATAACTTTACTGGATCTTGATTTTAAGTTTCAGACATGCTTAAAACTTTACTGGATCTTGATTTTAAGTTTCAGACATGATTAAAACTTTACTGGATCTTGATTTTAAGTTTCAGACATGCTTTAAACTTTACTGGATCTTGGTTTTAAGTTTCAGACATGCTTTAAACTTTACTGGATCTTGGTTTTAAGTTTCAGACATGCTTTAAACTTTACTGGATCTTGGTTTTAAGTTTCAGACATGCTTAAAACTTTACTGGATCTTGGTTTTAAGTTTCAGACAAGATTAAAACTTTACTGGATCTTGGTTTTAAGTTTCAGACATGATTAAAACTTTACTGGATCTTGGTTTTAAGTTTCAAACATGCTTAAAACTTTACTAGATCTTGATTTTAAGTTTCAGACATGCTTAAAACTTTACTGGATCTTGATTTTAAGTTTCAGACATGCTTATAACTTTACTGGATCTTGATTTTAAGTTTCAGACATGCTTAAAACTTTACTTGATCTTGATTTTAAGTTTCAGACATGCTTAAAACTTTACTGGATCTTGGTTTTAAGTTTCAGACATGGTTAAAACTTTACTGGATCTTGATTTTAAGTTTCAGACATGCTTAAAACTTTACTGGATCTTGGTTTTAAGTTTCAGACATGATTAAAACTTTACTGGATCTTGGTTTTAAGTTTCAGACATGCTTTAAACTTTACTGGATCTTGGTTTTAAGTTTCAGACATGCTTAAAACTTTACTGGATCTTGGTTTTAAGTTTCAAACATGCTTAAAACTTTACTGGATCTTGATTTTAAGTTTCAGACATGCTTTAAACTTTACTGGATCTTGATTTTAAGTTTCAGACATGCTTATAACTTTACTGGATCTTGATTTTAAGTTTCAGACATGCTTAAAACTTTACTGGATCTTGATTTTAAGTTTCAGACATGCTTAAAACTTTACTGGATCTTGATTTTAAGTTTCAGACATGGTTAAAACTTTACTGGATCTTGATTTTAAGTTTCAAACATGCTTAAAACTTTACTGGATCTTGGTTTTAAGTTTCAGACATGATTAAAACTTTACTGGATCTTGGTTTTAAGTTTCAAATATGATTAAAATTTTACTGGATCTTGGTTTTAAGTTTCAGACATGCTTTAAACTTTACTGGATCTTGGTTTTAAGTTTCAGACATGCTTAAAACTTTACTGGATCTTGGTTTTAAGTTTCAAACATGCTTAAAACTTTACTGGATCTTGATTTTAAGTTTCAGACATGCTTTAAACTTTACTGGATCTTGATTTTAAGTTTCAGACATGCTTATAACTTTACTGGATCTTGATTTTAAGTTTCAGACATGCTTAAAACTTTACTGGATCTTGATTTTAAGTTTCAGACATGCTTAAAACTTGATAGGATCTTGGTTTTAAGTTTCAGACATGCTTAAAACTTTACTGGATCTTGATTTTAAGTTTCAGACATGGTTAAAACTTTACTGGATCTTGATTTTAAGTTTCAAACATGCTTAAAACTTTACTGGATCTTGGTTTTAAGTTTCAGACATGATTAAAACTTTACTGGATCTTGGTTTTAAGTTTCAGATATGATTAAAATTTTACTGGATCTTGGTTTTAAGTTTCAGACATGATTAAAACTTTACTGGATCTTGGTTTTAAGTTTCAGACATGGTTAAAACTTTACTGAATCTTGATTTTAAGTTTCAGACATGCTTAAAACTTTACTGGATCTTGGTTTTAAGTTTCAGACATGATTAAAACTTTACTGGATCTTGATTTTAAGTTTCAGACATGCTTTAAACTTTACTGGATCTTGGTTTTAAGTTTCAGACATGCTTTAAACTTTACTGGATCTTGATTTTAAGTTTCAGACATGCTTTAAACTTTACTGGATCTTGATTTTAAGTTTCAGACATGCTTAAAACTTGACTGGATCTTGGTTTTAAGTTTCAGACATGATTAAAACTTTACTGGATCTTGATTTTAAGTTTCAGACATGCTTATAACTTTACTGGATCTTGATTTTAAGTTTCAGACATGCTTAAAACTTTACTGGATCTTGATTTTAAGTTTCAGACATGCTTAAAACTTTACTGGATCTTGATTTTAAGTTTCAGATATGCTTAAAACTTTACTGGATCTTGATTTTAAGTTTCAGACATGCTTAAAACTTTACTGGATCTTGGTTTTAAGTTTCAGCCATGATCCAAACTTTACTGGATCTTGGCTCCAAGTTTCAAAAATAATTAAAATTTTACATACTCTTGGTTCTGAGTTGTAAGCATGGTTAATTTTGGATTCTTGGTCGATACATTTGGAAATCCAGTACGATCTGTAACCTATAAACCTACTGTAATCTATAAACAGTTGAACGAAACGGAGTGAAACGGAGTGGAGTTCAACACACCTGTAACCTATAAACCTACTGTAATCTATTAACAGTTGAACGAAACGGAGTGAAACGGAGTGGAGTTCAACACACCTGTAACCTATAAACCAACTGTAATCTATAAACAGTTGAACGAAACGGAGTGAAACGGAGTGGAGTTCAACACACCTTTAACCTATAAACCTACTGTAATCTATAAACAGTTGAACGAAACGGAGTGAAACGGAGTGGAGTTCAACACACCTGTAACCTATAAACCAACTGTAATCTATAAACAGTTGAACGAAACGGAGTGAAACGGAGTGGAGTTCAACACACCTGTAACCTATAAACCTACTGTAATCTACATACAGTTGAACGAAACGGAGTGGAGTTCAACACACCTTTAACCTATAAACCTACTGTAATCTATAAACAGTTGAACGAAACGGAGTGGAGTTCAACACACCTGTAACCTATAAACCTACTGTAATCTATAAACAGTTGAACGAAACGGAGTGAAACGGAGTGGAGTTCAACACACCTGTAACCTATAAACCAACTTTAATCTATAAACAGTTGAACGAAACGGAGTGAAACGGAGTGGAGTTCAACACACCTGTAACCTATAAACCTACTGTAATCTACATACAGTTGAACGAAACGGAGTGAAACGGAGTGGAGTTCAACACACCTTTAACCTATAAACCTACTGTAATCTATAAACAGTTGAACGAAACGGAGTGAAACGGAGTGGAGTTCAACACACCTGTAACCTATAAACCTTCTGTAATCTATAAACAGTTGAACGAAACGGAGTGGAGTTCAACACACCTGTAACTTATAAACCTTCTGTAATCTATAAACAGTTGAACGAAACGGAGTGGAGTTCAACACACCTGTAACCTATAAACCTACTGTAATCTATAAACAGTTGAACGAAACGGAGTGAAACGGAGTGGAGTTCAACACACCTGTAACCTATAAACCTACTGTAATCTATAAACAGTTGAACGAAACGGAGTGGAGTTCAACACACCTGTAACCTATAAACCTACTGTAATCTATAAACAGTTGAACGAAACGGAGTGGATTTCAACACACCTGTAACCTATAAACCTTCTGTAATCTATAAACAGTTGAACGAAACGGAGTGAAACGGAGTGGAGTTCAACACACCTGTAACCTATAAATCTAAACTAGGTTGAGCGAAGCTCACAAATTTTTACGTCCTGAACGGAGCGAAGCGAAGTGAAGGCGTGAAAATTTTACCCAATTTAAAAAAATCCAGTACGATCTGTAATCTATAAACCTTCTGTAATCTATAAACAGTTGAACGAAACGGAGTGAAACGGAGTGGAGTTCAACACACCTTTAACCTATAAACCTACTGTAATCTATAAACAGTTGAACGAAACGGAGTGAAACGGAGTGGAGTTCAACACACCTGTAACCTATAAACCTACTGTAATCTATAAACAGTTGAACGAAACGGAGTGAAACGGAGTGGAGTTCAACACACCTGTAACCTATAAACCTACTGTTATCTTTAAACAGTTGAACGAAACGAAGTGGAGTTCAACACACCTGTAACCTATAAACCTTTTGTAATCTATAAACAGTTGAACGAAACGGAGTGAAACGGAGTGGAGTTCAACACACCTGTAACCTATAAATCTAAACTAGGTTGAGCGAAGCTCACCCGTTTTTAAAAATCCAGATCGATCTAGATAATTTGGTTGCATCTATGACCTTAAAAGTATTTAAAAATAAATATTGATATTGAAGTTCAACACACCTGTAATTTATAAACCTACTGTCATCTATAAGATCTGAGTTCAACACACCTGTTGTTTTATTTTTAATTTTTAATGAAACACGTCTTAATGTTTTTGTTCGTGTTTTTCAACTGATTTTTTTATTTTCTCAGACTACTGAGATCATTATTTTACACCTGTAACCTATAAACCTTCTGTAATCTATAAACAGTTGAACGAAACGGAGCACACAAGTTGCAAAACTTTCCAAGACTGTAACCTATGTTGAAGTCTGATCTACATAAGAGACTGACTGCGGAGCATTAATTTGAGTGATTTTTCAATTTCATAATCTATCGTTTACTAAGTGTGAAAGTTAATGGCTTTCTACATAGGTCGTATTTTTCATATTTATAATTTTAAAAATTTTTATTTCTTTGCGACACTAGAATCATGATTTTCGTTATAAAACGTGTTCTTAATGCGTGGTATCCTTTGTTGATAATGCAGCAAATTTTGATAATAAGTCTTACATTTTATTGAGAGAAGATTTTTCAAGATTTTCTGAACAATACATAGAGAGTTCTATAGGATTGTGTGAATATTCCCATGAAGCGTGATCGGCTTCATTACTAGTTTTTATCATACTTTTCATTTTAATGCATCGTAAACGCTTTTTGTTGCATGTAAAGCTTGATGATTACGTTAATTATATGTAATTTTAAACCAAACCAAATTTAAGATGATTTAACAAAAATTGTAATGGTAAGTTTTTTTATTATGTGTGCCTTTTGTACTTAAATTACTTATGAGATAAGAGATTTCATTATCATGTTTTGATTTTAAGTGGAAAAGTGAAATGATATTGTACATTCCAATTGTTTTATTTTCTAAATTTAAACTCCTTTTAATCTAGCAAGCGAAATGCGTTTAAAAGCTAATTTTTTTTATCTTATCGTCGCTTATCAATTTTATAATTTTCTATAGGAACGATACCCTGGGTCATTTATCGCTGAACGAGCTTATCAGCAACTAAAAATACTCAATGATTTTGGTAATATCAACATTTATTGCCGATAAATATAATTTCTAATGTTTTGATAACAGTCGTTATTACTTTATCTCACGTGATTACTCATATCTGTTTTATTTGTGAAATTCAATATAAATTGCATAGGCCCAAAAGTGGTTGGTAGTAAGGCGAATGAGATCTTGGCAGCAGACTTTGTCTTCAGTGAAGCCAATAATATTCAGAAAAATGCTACAAATCCTGATGATATAGAAATTGATAGACAAATTGAATCAGGTTTTAGTTATTATGATAACTATTACAATCTGCAAAACATTGTTGTTCGTATTCAAGGAGAAACTGATCATGCTGTAATGCTCAATTGTCATTTTGACTCAGTTCCTGGAAGTCCTGGCGCTAGTGATGATATCGTAAGATATTTTTATAACAAGTTTTTCATATTCGAATATAATTCATTTTAAAACTAGGTAAATTGTTGCGTTATGATGGAAATCTATCGGGTTTTATCACAAAGTCCCATAAAGCAACGCCACACAATAATTTTTCTTTTCAATGGGTCTGAAGAAACAGGACTTCAGGCAGCCCATGCATTTATAACACAACAAAAATGGCGCAAAAATGTAAGAGCCTATATTAATTTGGAATCTACGGGAAGTGGTGGAAAGGAAATCCTTTTTAGAACTGGACCCAAACACGATTGGCTAGTTAAAATGTATCGCGAAAGTGTTCCTAGACCTTTTGGTCAAGTAGCATCTGAGGAGTTATTTGAAAGCGGCGCAATTCCATCAGCCACTGATTTTCAGGTAAAATTAATTGAACGTGTATTACTAAGTATAATTTATGCATCACATATTTTTATGAATATAGATTTTTCGTGATTACGGCGATGTTCCAGGCTTAGATTTTGCATATGTTGAAGATGGATGGAGATATCATACTCGATATGATAACATTGATTATATTACGATAGAATCAGTTCAGCATACTGGAAACAATATCCTTGCACTTACAAAGAAAATTGCAAATTCAAAGGAACTTAGTGATCCACCAGAAGGAACTTATTCAATTTATTTTGAGTATCTGGGATTAGTTTTCGTATCTTACTCTGCAACCGCAGGTGCAATATTCAACTACATCATCAGTATTCTTGCATTTGCAATTCCATTTATGCTTCAAACAAAGTTCAAAATGGAAAATCTTGGATTTGTAATTTTTGAAACAATTATGTCTTTAGTTACAATAATAATAAGCATACTCTTGGCAACACTAGCATGCTGGGGAATGGCTTCACTAATGAATTCTGTGGATAATACAATGAGTTGGTTTAATACAACATTTTTGTCAATCGGCATTTACTGTTCTTTGGCATTAATTGTTCAAATTGCGACCTATCATGCAATGCAATTATTAGGCAAATGTTTCTTTAGAACCAAAAAATATCGAGAAACATCAATGAGACACAGAGTAAAGATCAATTTAAATGGAGTCACTATGTTTTGGTCACTTTTAACCATCACATTAACTGCAATGGGAATGAGAATTGGATATATTTTTATGGTTCTATTATTTGTTTCATTATGTACTTATCTATTGACATACTCAATGTGCAGAGTTCTATCAAAAACCAGTAAGTTTATTTTTAATAATATTACATATTTTACTTATGTTTCTGTGAAATTCCATTTTATTAGCTTCACAAAGTTGGATCTTTGTTCATGTATTCGGACATTCAGTTGTGTTTCTATTTTTATGCTACATTTCAATTCAAATCCTTCTACTTTTTATTCCGATTGCTGCTAAACAATACTATGAAAATCCTGATATATTGGTAGCTATTATTTGTGTATTGTGGATGGTAATGTGCATGAGTTACTTTGTAAGTATAGACATTTAAATTTTTCTGATAAGAAACGAATTTCAAACATTTTTACTCACAGATTCCACTGACACTGTTCATTAAGCTAAGAGCGGTCTTATATTGTTCTTTATTGACGCTTTTTGTTACTTGTACAATCCTTGCATTCACATCACTCGGATTTCCTTATAGTGATGCTCAACATGCACCAAGGTTACAAAGATTTCGAACAACTCATATAAAGAGAACGATATATGATCCTGCTGGAAACGAAAAGTCATCAATTGGGAATATGATGATTTATGCTTGGGATAGAAATGGAATAAGAACTTTAAAAGAAGCATTTAATGGCCATGATTTTCTGTACATTAGGAATGATGAGTTATGCTCTGAATATTATTTATGTGCTTTCCAGCATCGAGCTATAAATGAAAGGGTTATTGCTATTAAAGGCTTCCATACGAAACCAAATATTGATCCCACGGCATATAAACTTATTAAAGCTACAAGTAATGGAGGGGTTGTGGAAATAGAGTTCGCTCTTGAATTAAGAACTACTGTTGAGCTTTCTTTGACTTTGGATGAAGGATTAGAGTTTGAATCTAGTAATATCGATTTTACTAAAATAGATCAAAATCAAAAACGTCACATAATTACTACAATTACTGTTGGAGTAAGCAATAATGATACCTACTTGATTAAAATACAACTAAAGGTAAACTTTATCAAATTAAAATAGCAATTAAATACAGCCAATTATTTTTGAAATACATTTAATAGGGTACACCAATTTCAAACATATTTGCGTCATTAGTCGTCGTAACTATAGATTCAACATTTGATCAAGGTGCAAAGACTACTGAATTCGCTCATATATTGAATAAATTTCCTGACTACACATTTTCATATGTGCACCAAGTTGACTCGTCTGTGTATGAAATAGCACAAAAGTAATGTTTGTTATTATACATTTTTTCAAAATGAACTAGCAATTATAAATGACATTGAACTTGATACAAAATCAAAATAAACAAATGTTTTCAATACAATACATGCGCATTTTTTGAATAGCACATGGTGTTAAGTTCGATAGCATCAATAACATGTGCTCTAAACACATGAAAGAGAGAATGTACACGTGAAGAGAGCTGAGCAATTTGCCGGTGAGAGATACTAGCAACAAGTGGTTGAGAGTGTAAAATTTTAGCGGGAAACTTTATTGCGCATGTGTTGAGCTACAGTTGAGCAAAAGTGAGCAAGTGGAAAATTTTTTGCGAGTTAAATGAAAATTTTTTGAAAAAAATTAATTTCTTGTGAAAGTTACCACTTTTATGGATTTAAATATCGTAAAAATGTGATTTAATGTGCAATGAATAAGAAATTTATGAAGTTGAATTGAAAAAATATGAATTTATACATTAAAAATTGAAAAATAACTTTAGTCATCGCCCTTTTTGGAGTTGTTTATATTTTTCCTTTTAAAACATAAAAGAACTAAACAAAAATGGCAAAGTTTGTTGAATGGGCTAACAGCTTACTCGGCCGCTTTGAGGAACAGGTTAAAAACAATGCCTAAACATGATATTCAAGATTTTCCAAAATTTTCCTATTTTCCAAGATGTCGCACAAAAAATCGATACGATATTTCTACAGGTGATTTTCTCTTCTTCTTATTTCAGCTTCCATATCGCACAGGAACAACAAGTACTCAAGCAAGAATCAACATGGAACAAACTTTAATTGAACAAAGCTTAATTCAAATATCAAGATATAGGTTTTCCTTAGTTATATCTGGATTAACAAAAATGCTTCAAAGAGTAAATGAAATTGTAAGATTACATTATACTATAATATCGAATGGCTAAATATTCAGCATCTGATTTTTTAGTATCAACCTACACAAGGTAGAGGCCATGATTCGGAAAGACTAGGCTATGACTCACTGATTATCATTTTACAGACATTGGAACGATGTCTGTCAAATCAGTCAAAAGATAATGCCAGATTTGAGGAAGCGATGAATGTAAAATTATTATTGAGAGAAATTTGCCAATTCATAGGTATTCGCGCAGAATATGTCCAGTTTTATATTAAATTTAACTCACATTTTACTCTATTTTAGACGTACAAAGTGACCTAAACATGCCAAACAATTCACCTTCATTGAAGGGTCTTGCATCCAAAGTCTTGTTCGCACTCTCACAAAATCATTTTGGTGCTGTTTTCAATAGAATTTCCGCACGTTTACAAGAGCTCAGTGCATGCTCTGAAGAGAATCCTGACTATAGTGATGTTGAGTTAATTCAACACATTGATCTGGATGTCATTAAACTAACAAAATTACTGACAGAAGTCATTCAAAAGTTCAAATTATTAAAGAAGTCTGCTCATCTGATTCTTCTGAATTCATTGGAAAAGGCTATGTGGAATTGGATTGAATTTCATCCAAAAGAATTTGAAGATTTACAACGAAATCCCAATGAAGAGCTCTCGAAATGTTGTGAAACATTCTTCGACATACTTGACTCGTATGCGGAAAATAAAAAGAGTCGTTCAGCTGTTTGGCCACTACAGATTCTTCTACTTATATTAAGTCCAAAAGTTCTGGAGGAAATCGTCAATGCAGACAGTGGTGCACCTTGTTCTCCACGACATATTAAGAAAAAGCACTTTATGGAAGGCATTAAGAAAGGTTTGAGTTCACATGCATCATCTAAACAAATGACAGAGTCAGCAGCAATTGCTGCAATAAAGCTTTGTAAAGCAAGTACATATATCAATATAAATGATTCAAATAATGTCACTTTTCAACTTGTTCAAAGTGTCATTAATGACTTGAAAGCTCTGCTGTTTAATGTATCGAAACCTTTCTCAAGAGGACAGGCATATAATCTTCAAGATATTGATTTAATGATTGATTGCTGGGTCTCATGTTTTAGAATTAAGCCTCACAACAATGAAGCTTTAAAAGTCTGTTTGAGCTTAACATCACCTTCTATATTTCATTATGTTATTGTCAGCTCATTATTGAAGTGAGTTCTGAAATTTAATTTTTTAAATGATTTGTAATTTTATAAGCATTTAAACATTTTAGGATTGTTACACAACCACGATTAAATTGGTGGCCCCAAATAGATTTGGTTTATGCACGATCGGCAGAATTGCGAGCTTTATTTACGGATACATTAAATAAAGCAACACAGGGCTATATAGCACACACACCATTGAGAATGATAGCATCACTTTCGCTCAAATCAAAAGATAATCAGTCACGATTGATCCGACCTGATGAGACTCATGCACACAAAGCACTTTTACTATTGATGGTGCGTTTAGTTCATGCAGATCCAATGTTACTACTTAATAGCCAAGGAAAAGCAGGTCATGAAGTTCAAAGCTCTACTTTAGAACTAATAAATGGACTAGTATCTTTAGTTCATCAGCCTACAATGCCAGATGTGGCACAAGAAGCTATGGAAGCATTATTAGCTTTACATTCACCAGAAAAAATCGAAATGTGGAACCCAGAGGCTCCAATTAATACGTTTTGGGATGTGTCTTCGCAAGTATTGTTTTCAATATCACAAAAATTAATACAACATCAAATTGCTAACTATACAGATGTTTTGAAATGGCTCAGAGAAATTTTGATTTGTCGGAATACGTTCTTACAAAGGCACAAAGATTACGCAAGTTGTGGTTCTCAAATAGCAATTTGTCGACAGGCGCACATTAAACTAGAGGTTGTGTTCTTTATGTACTTATGGTCAGTAGATCTTGATGCAGTGATTGTTGCACTTTCATGTTTTGGATTGTTATGTGAAGAAGCAGAAATTAGATCTGGATCTGATGAGATGACGGTATCATTTATTTTGCCAAATTATCATCTTTATCAAGAATTAGCTCAAGCATCAAGCACTATTACAACAGGAAACAGCGAGAGTCGATATTGCTTCTATGAACACACACAAGGGAGAATTGCTCTTCAAAAAACTATTATGGGTTTGTTGAGGAAAATTGAGCATTGTGTTAATGGAATTTCTCCAGCTTGGGAGGAAACTTACAGAAATTGGGAGCAACTATGCAAGCTTCTTCAAACGTATCCAAAAGGAAAAGTAGAAGATGGACAAACTGAAGTCTTTCACAGAAGTGTGAGTAAAAGGAGAGCAAGTCATCAATCATCAGAGCATGACTTAGAGGAACAAATTAATGAATGGGCAAATATGACATGGTTCCTTCTAGCACTTGGTGGCGTTTGTTTACAACGTCCAAAAACAATTCGTGCTTTTCAAGGTCAAAACATGACACTTGGCTCCTTAGTTCAGTCAACGAGTTCTATATCAAGCTCAAGCTCAGGAAGAGGATCGATGATGATGGTTTCTGTAATTGGATCTTTACCTGGACCACAGGAAGTTCAGTATTGTCCTGTAACTCAATTCATCGGCCAACTTCTACGTCTTCTTGTGTGCAACAACGAAAAATTTGGACCTCAAATTCAAAAGCATGTCAAAGAACTAATTGGACAAGAAATGTCATCACAAATGTACCCTATTTTATTTGACCAAATTCGATCAATTGTTGAGAAATTTTTCGATCAGCAAGGGCAGGTTGTAGTGACAGATATAAATACACAATTTATTGAGCATATAATTTATATAATGAAATCAGTATTAGAAGGAAGGCAAAGCAAAGATGAACCAATGGCAAATGAGCATTTAGGAGTAACGAGCATAGAAGGAATGATGCTTGCAATTGTTCGGTATGTTCGACATCTTGACATGACAGTACATGCGATTCACATCAAAACAAAATTATGTCAGCTCGTTGAAGTTATGATGAAACGACGAGACGACCTTGCTTTTCGACAAGAAATGAAATTTCGAAATAAACTTGTAGAATATTTGACAGATTGGGTCATGGGAACAAGTCATCAAATAGCTCCACCATCATCTGGAGACGTAACAGTTATTACTAGAGATTTAGATCAAGCATGTATGGCTTGTGTTGGTGCTTTATTGAAAGGTCTTCCCTTACAACCTGAAGAATCAGATCGTGGAGATTTGATGGATGCAAAATCTGCATTATTTTTAAAATATTTTACATTATTTATGAACTTATTGAATGACTGTGTAGATATATCAGATAGTGATAAAGAACCGAGCAATCAACCTATTATGATGCCACCGAGGCCAAGAGTTGCCGCAACAAAATTGACAGCTTTAAGAAATTCAACAATTCAAGCTATGTCAAACTTGCTTAGTGCAAATATTGATTCAGGTTTAATGCATTCTATTGATCTCGGATATAATCAAGATTTACAAACGCGTGCAGCTTTTATGGAGGTATTGACACAAATTTTGCAACAAGGAACCGAATTTGAATGCCTTGCTGAAACAATTATTGCAGATAGATTTGAGCAGCTTGTGCAGTTAGTAACAATGATTAGTGACAAGGGAGAATTGCCTATCGCTATGGCATTAGCTAATGTTGTAACTACATCTCAAATGGATGAACTTGCAAGAGTTCTTGTAACACTTTTCGATGCCAAGCATCTCCTATCACCACTTTTGTGGAATATGTTTTACAGAGAAGTTGAAGTTTCGGATTGCATGCAAACACTATTTCGTGGCAACTCGTTAGGCAGTAAAATAATGGCATTTTGTTTCAAAATATATGGTGCAAGTTATTTGCAATCATTACTTGAGCCATTAATAAGGCCATTGATTGATGATCCGAATACTAATTTCGAGGTTGATCCAGCACGTTTAGAACCTACTACAGACGATATTGACGTAAATCGTAAAAACTTGATTGCATTAACACAAAAAGTTTTTGATGCTATCGTTAATTCTGCAGATCGATTTCCATCTCAACTTCGTTCAATGTGCCATTGTCTATATCAGGTACTTAGCAAACGTTTTCCAAATTTATTACAGCATAATGTCACAAATGTTGGTACAGTAATATTTTTGAGATTCATAAATCCAGCTATCGTCAGTCCTCAAGAATTAGGAATCATATCGAAGCAAGTTCCATCACATATTAAACGTGGATTAATGTTATTATCAAAAATACTTCAAAATATTGCTAATCATGTTGAATTTTCAAAAGAGCAGCACATGCTCTACTTTAATGATTTTCTTCGTGCTCATTTTGAACCATGCCGAAGATTCTTCATACAAATCGCTTCTGATTGTGAAACAGTTGATCAAGCATCATCGCATAGCATGAGTTTTATATCTGATGCAAATGTCTTGGCATTACATCGTTTACTGTGGACTCATCAGGAGCGCATTGGAGATTATTTATCAAGTTCTCGTGATACAAAGCATGTTGGACGTCGACCATTTGATAAAATGGCTACATTACTAGCTTATTTGGGACCTCCTGAACATAAACCCGTGAATGTCGATTCTCATATGTTGTTTTCATCTTATGCTCGTTGGAGTTCAATTGATATTTCTTCAACAAATTTTGAAGAAATCATGGTGAAACATCAAATGCACGAAAAAGAAGAATTTAAGACACTAAAGTCTATGAACATTTTTTATCAAGCTGGAACATCAAAAGCAGGATTTCCGGTATTTTACTACATTGCAAGACGATATAAAATTGGTGAAACAAATGGCGACTTGTTGATATATCATGTCATTTTAACTCTCAAACCATTTATTCATGCACCATTTGAAGTTGTAATTGACTTTACTCACACATGTAGTGATAACAGATTTAGAACAGAATTTCTGCAAAAATGGTTCTATGTTTTACCTGAGGTAGCTTATGAAAACCTCCATGCAGCATACATTTATAACTGTAATTCATGGGTTCGAGAATATACTAAATTTCATGACCGGATTTTGGCTCCATTAAGAGGGAATCGAAAACTTGTTTTCCTGGACGCACCATCAAAACTAAATGATTTTATAGATGTTGAACAGCAAAAATTACCTGGTGCAACATTATCTCTTGATGAAGACTTGAAAGTTTTCAATAATGCATTAAAATTGAGTCATAAAGATACAAAAGTTTCCATTAAAGTTGGTCCAACTGCTTTACAAATAGCATCTGCTGAAAAAACTAAAGTATTAGCACATTCTGTTTTACTTAATGATGTTTACTATGCATCTGAAATTGAGGAAATAACTCTTGTTGATGATAATCAATTTACATTATCAATAGCAAACGAGAGTTCACAGCTCAGTTTTATTCACAACGATTGCGATAATATTGTTCAAGCAGTAATTCATATTCGGAACAGATGGGAATTAAGTCAACCAGATTCAGTAACAGTTCATCAAAAAATCAGACCGAAAGATGTTCCTGGAACATTACTAAATATGGCACTATTGAATCTTGGATCATCAGATCCAAATTTAAGAACAGCTGCATATAACTTACTATGTGCATTGACTGCAACATTTGACTTAAAAATTGAAGGCCAGCTATTGGAAACACAAGGTCTCTGTATTCCATCAAACAATACTATTTTTATTAAGGAAATTTCGGAGAAGTTAGCAACGAATGAGCCTCATTTGACGTTGGAATTTTTAGAAGAATGTATTCAGGGTTTTCAGCGTAGTACGATTGAATTAAAACATTTGTGTCTCGAATATATGACACCTTGGCTAGCTAATCTCGTAAGATTCTGCAAGCCAACTGACGAGGGAAAGAGACAAAAACAAGTTGCACAAATTTTAGAAAAACTTATTAACTTGACTATAGAGCAAAAGGAAATGTATCCATCAATTCAAGCAAAAATTTGGGGAAATATCGGACAGGTATTATTTTTAAAAAACAAAATTAAGAACACACATTAACAGTTAATTTTTTAATTCTAGATCCCCGATTTGATTGATATGGTTTTGGATAACTTTATTCATAAATCAGTAAGTTCTGGTCTTGGATCTCCACAAGTTGAAATAATGGCAGACACAGCTGTAGCTTTAGCCAGTGCAAATGTTCAATTGGTTGCTAAAAAGGTTATAGGGCGATTATGTCGCGTAATGGACAAAACGTGTTTGTCACCAACCCAATACTTGGAGCAACACGTAAGAACTAGAATTAAATTAATCAATAAATTACTAATATACTTTCCTTATCTAGATGATGTGGGATGATATAGCAATCCTCGCAAGATATCTTCTTATGTTATCTTTCAACAATTGTTTGGATGTAGCACGACACCTTCCATATCTCTTCCATACTGTCACCTTTCTTGTTTGCAGTGGCTCTCTTAGTATGCGAGCATCAACTCATGGTCTAGTCATTAATATTATTCATTCATTATGTACATGCACGAAACCCTCATTTGCCGAAGAAACGCATCGAGTTTTGAGACTTTCACTTGATGAATTTTCTTTACCTAAATTTTATTTGCTGTTTGGAATCAGTAAAGTCAAATCTGCAGCCAGTACTGCATTCAGATCATCATGTCGTCACCATTCAGATCGCTGGTTAGGAAATGAAAGAGTATCACAACCTCCATTGGATCGTGAAAGATTAGCACTACCTTCCTTGGAGGTCATTACTGATGCATTGCTTGAAATCATGGAAGCATGTATGCGCGATATTCCCGATTGTGATTGGTTACAAACATGGACATCATTAGCAAAAAGTTTTGCTTTTTGTTATAATCCTGCATTACAGCCAAGAGCTTTGATAGTGTTTGGTTGCATTAGCAAATCAATTACTGACTCAGACGTTAAACAATTACTCAGAATTCTTGTTAAAGCGTTAGAAAGTTTCAATGACATTCAACTTTTAGAAGCGCTTATTATGTGCTTAACAAGATTGCAACCATTATTACGACCAGAATCAACAATACATAGAGCACTTTTTTGGGTAGCTGTTTCTGTACTGCAACTTGATGAATCAACACTTTATGCTGCTGGCTTGGCTCTTCTCGAACAAAATTTACACACTCTTAATTCACAGCAAACGTTTGATAAACAGAACTTAGCAGATGTAATGATGGATACACGTGAACCATTGGAATGGCACTTTAAGCAACTCGATCATGCAGTTGGATTATCATTTAAATGCAATTTTCATTTTGCACTTGTTGGACATTTACTTAAAGGATTCCGACATCCAACACCGACAACAGTATCTAGAACAAATCGTGTACTTACAATGCTACTTGGAATTGTTGCCAAACCAAGTCGCAGAGATAAATTTGAAGTTGCTCATGATTCTGTTGCATACTTAACAGGTAAACTGTTTGTTTAAAAAACATTGATTGTTTAATAATTTTTTTTTTATTTTTCTTAAAGCTCTTGTGAGTGTTTCTGAAGAAGTACGATCACGCTGTCATGTCAAGCATACAATTCCTCGATGGCCACCAATAGAATCAGCAAATGATAATTCAGTTGATTCAACAACAGGAAATCAGAACGTTCGACGTCAAAAGTCATGGGATATGTTAGATCAGTCAGCAATAGCATATGCTCGACAACAACATAAGGTTCCACATCAGGTAAAAATATTTAACTAGTTTATTTTGAATTATCTAAATTTTCTCCTCCATATATTTGAGTTTCCTCTAAACATACATTGTCTTTATTACGAAAAGTAAAAAAAAAACTTAAAAGTTTTTAGTTGATGGATGTGGTGTCTTAGTAACTGAAAAAAAATCTGAATATTAAAAAGTCAAAAGTTGAGCTTATTGTTCTCTAAATTCTTAGTTTCCTATTTTTAACAATCTTTATTTTGTCTGTTTTCTGATTGATAAAATTGATTTAAAAATTTGCAAAAAAAATGTTAATTGTCTGTTATTGTTTCCAAGTTTTATAAATTTTATGTTTGAGTTAATTGGCTTAAAAGTAATTTTCTTGTTTATTTATGTTGCGATTTTTGATTGATTTTGACTAATTTTGTGAAGAGCATTAAAAGAAAGCTAAGCATCCATTCTTGGATTAATTTGGTCGTTCTGTGTTTTTAATTTTTTTTTTTGCATACAGAAAACTTTAAATCATAATGAATTAGTGAAGTATTAAATATTAATATCAAAATTTCTATTTATATTTTAAACAACACAGAACGACCAAGAAACTGAATTTCGATGGATAAAAATTTCGCAGACCATTCATTATGAAATTTTGTGTTTTCATTGAATATATGTTCTCATTTATTGCCATTTTTATCATTCTTATAATGCAATTCATATTAATGTTTCATAACCTTTTTATTAAAAAAAAATTAATGACATGAATGCCGATAAAAAGTTTCTTTTGTTATTTTCATTTATTCATTTCCCAAACCGAAAAATATTTGATGGAACTAAATATATATATATATATTCGTGTAATTGTAAATATATCTCCATATATTATAATAATGATCATAATGCACACACAATTCAGGAAGCGGTAGTAATTAAAGGAAAGATATGGCGAAGCCTTGATTTGGCAAATCAATCGAATGTAACTGTCAGTAGTAATTTAAATAATAGTCCTAATAATCACCCAACATCAACAACATCAACAACAGCAACTAATGCCCATCACAATTCCTTGATAAATGCCAATCAGACACCTCATTATCAGAGACATGACTTTAAAAATCGTCGATCCTCATCTGAGCCGGCGAATGAGCAAAAGATGCTCTCTCACATTCAATCAAATCCTAATAATAACATAAGTAACAGTAATTTAAGTAATAATCAGAACAACACTACAACAATTCCTAATACAAGCATAAATCAGACTAATAACTGTTGTTCAAATAACAATACTAGTTTGGCCCTCGATGATGCATCTGATATTCAAAATCCCAGCGATGATTTCATTGATTGTCTTCATCAGAAAAATATTAAAGTAAGCAAATTAACTTTGTATCAATTTCAAATGATAATGAGAAGAAAATTTCATTTAAAAAATGCCAAATACATACACTTTTATCTGTCTCTGTACTATTTCTCTATCTCTAATCCTCTCTATACATTTTGATGTTCATATTTATGGCTAATATATATTATGTATATTAATAAAATATTGACTTAGATATTTTCTACTTATATCTAATTCTACTTTTTATATATTTTATATTTATGTAATTTCCAATTTTTAAGTTATTTCTGATTATTTCGAAATATTTGCAAATTCAGAACTGATACGAATTGTGATAGATAGTGAAGAAAACTTACTAGCTTTTAATAATCTCTCATGATTTGATCTGAAAATCACAAAAAATGTGAAGATTGTTTTTTTTTAAAAAAAAAAAGAAAATAAATTTGCTTATAATTGAGCTGTTTGACTTTAAATATACATTCAAGTTATCTAAGTTTATTGGTAAATTTTGTAGTTAAAACAAACACTAATTTGATAATCAATTTTTTAAATTATGTTTAAAAACAATTTAGTAGTTTTGGGTTCAATATAATTTTCTTTAAAATTTTTCCACTGTCTGATCATATTCAAAAAGCAGAATGTTGATGATCATCTTAAATCACTAGTTGCTTTTGAAGGAAAATATCATACAATTTTTGTCAGTTTAACATTTTTAAAAATAGTTAAGTTTTATCATTAAATCATCCACTTTTTACAATTTTTTTCATTTGTTTTACAAATTTTTCAAACTGAATTTCAATTCCAAAATGAAGCGAACAATGCTTTAATACAGCCAAAGAACAATGAATTATGAAAACTAACCACAAGAACACAAATCATACATAAAACTAGATAAAATCTGATTCGAGTATAATTACAATCGCTTATTCTGTTTCTCTTTGAAATGTCACAATTAATTTAAAACCGAACATTTTCTTACTTTAAAAGCATCTAATTCAAATTTCTTCTTTTAAAAAAAATTTTAAAACATTTCGCTTAAAACTGAATTGTGTTTGTTCATGCTTCATATTTTTTCCACACTAAAGTAGATTTGTAAAAACCCTTTTTTAAGAAAAATCATGAAACATTGTAGAAACATATAAGTTTATTTAACCTTTAAAGTTTTTTTTAATAAAAATTTTACTTCAGATTAACTGAAATATCAATAAACTTAAATTTTTCTGCAAAATATGATCAATATTGAACCCTCAATTATATTCCATTTGTGATACTGCTTGCCTAAATAGCTTTATTAAAAACAGCCAACACATCCCAAAATTCCATAGCTTTTTTAATTTCTAGATGAAAATTTTTCATTACCATTTTTTTTTGTTTTTCTCTTATATTTACATCTAATCAATATTGCGACATTTCTACTTCTACTACTGCTATCACCACTTATTTCTGCATATTATTAAATATTATTAAACGCGATCTTTTGGGTCTTCGCTTATTCCTGTCTCGATAAAACAAAATAATCAAAAATATTTGTTGGACGGGATCATCTGTAATATCATTTATTAATTTAATAAACAAATTAAAAATTGTGGCTTTCGAAACAAACTTCCCGATATCTTTTTAAATGTTTTTATCAATTTTTTTCCTTTTTTTCTTTAATTATACTTATCGACTTTCCTAATTTGAATTTTTTTAATTATTTTCTGTTTGTATTTTCTTCTTCTTTCCTTTCTTTTTACAATACATATTTTAATGATAAATTAATTTGTTGTGCATGATATGATTAATATCAAAATTGTGTGATTAAAACTACTTTCTTAAAAATCGTAAATCTCAAAACCTAATGAACTAAAATCGAATGAAACTGATGGTCGTACTAGAATGCTAGAGTTTTGATGTTCAAAACGCAAAGATCATTCTCAGTGCCAACAACAAAGGAGCAAAAATCAACAGCAGATGAACGACAGGTATTATTAGTTTTGCTTTGGTTATGATTTAACAAAAGCTCGGTCGTTAACAAAATTAAATAATTTTGAAACTATTGATAATAAAGATCCGGATATTTAAAAAAAAAAATTCATCAAAAAATTCTGATATGCCAAATAAATATTAATTAATATATTTTAAATTTTAGTGAGTAATCTGTTTTGCATATTTGATAGATATTTTACTAATAACATTTACATTAACAAAACAATTTAATTTTTTTTTTCAATTCAACTGTAACAACATTCATACATCCACTTGTATACATGCCTTGAACACATTGATTGCCGATAGTAACATGATTTTGAGTTTACAACTCTTTATTTAAATTTAAAATAATTTTTCATTAACACAACACAAAATAAATGTGATTATCTTAAAATCATGAGAGTATTTGCAAATAAACGTAAAAATTCTTAGCATTATAAAATGTAATTTGCTTGTTAATAATCTAAAAAAGCCACCAAAAAAAATTGGAAACAAAAATCAAAATTAGCTTTTAAAATTTCTATTCACGAAAAAAGTTTTCTTCCTTCTAAGAATTTTTCTGTATTTTTCTTATTTTTTCTACAAGCTAAAATTTAAATCTGTGAATTTTTTCTTTCTCTAAAATTTTTTGATATAAATACAAAATAAACTTAATAATATTACTATTTAATGAATAAAACTTTATTAAAAATCTTAGGAACGTGGTTCTCGATCATCAGTATCAAATGAGTCTAATGTTCTTTTGGATCCAGAAGTTTTGCCTGATAGCTCAACACAAGCACTTGTCTTAACAGTCCTTGCAACACTTTTAAAATATTCCACTGATGAAACTGAAACCCGAGTTCTATATCAATACTTGGCTGAAGGATCTGTTGTATTTCCAAAAGTTTTTCCAGTCATGTAAGTAAAAGTATCGAAAAGTTTAGTATATGATTTAACTTTTAATTTGAATATTTACAGTCACTCACTTCTCGATCAGAAAATCAATAATGTTCTTGGATCATCAAATGATCAAGTAGTTCTTGCTGCTGCTCAAGGAATTATTCAAAACATGCTAGCATCAGAAGATGCATCACAACAGCCATTGCATTTCTTGCAATCATGTGGCTTCGGAGGTTTGTGGAGATTTGCTGGACCATTTACTAAGGTATGAAACTTATCAAAAGATTTTAACTAATGAGTTAATAAATGTGTTTTTTTCATAGTACAATATGATGGTAGAATCCTCTGAACTGTTTGTAAACTGTCTTGAAGCCATGGTTGAAACGTGTCTACCAGCTGAAGAAAATCAACCTGTACCATCGTCACCAAGACCATACAATCTAACATCAAGTTTGAGTAGTTTGACATTAGGATCGCCAGACAAAGGTTTATCATCATAGTTCTAATTTAAAATCAATTTGAATTTTGGAAAATACAATCAAAATTTAAACTAACCTAAAATTTTCATTTTCTTTCTTTTTCGTTTCTTTCTCCGCGTCTTCCGAATTTTTTAATTTTTTTAAATTTTCCTAATATTAACCTTTAAATTTTAAAATATTCAGCTTTTTCGACAGAATCACTAGATCGTGATCGAGAACGTGAATATAGTGGCTCTTTAAGACGAGCATCATTATCAAAAGCACGTTCAGCAAATGCAAAAATTCGACAATTTAATGAAACATAAATAGGATAAAATTAGATATTGCACTACTGTAATTTATTTAAGTCATGACGACTAATTACATTTTATCGAATATTATAAAACATTTAATGCTTGCAAAAAGATGTTTAAAGATTTTATTATGTTCTTTGTTTATACATCTATGTATGTTTAACCAGCATAATTACATTTTTTTGAATATGTTAATATTTGTTCACAATTTTTCAAAATTAAGTTTTTAACAACATCCCTAACAGACAAATAAGCATACTAGTGTACTAGTAGGGCATAAGTCATCAAAACTGTCAACCTCCTTTTTAAAAAAAAACGAATAAAAAAAAATCTTAATTTTTAAAAGATAATGTGGAAATCATAAAAACTTATGAAATGTTGCTATTTTTAAAAATACATTCTCCAAAATTTTTTACATTACTAATGATTTTAAATAAAATTATTACTATTCTATGGATACTATCACACTATTAGTATAAATGTAAAAACTAACGTTTAAATTCAAATTATAAATGTGGGAAAGAAAGAAATTGTCATGATTGAGGAAGTCACTCAATAGCGATTTATTTCTTATTTATCAAATAAAAAATATTAAATTTTCTGCTCTCTTTATTGTTAATATTTGAAATACCAATGATCTCTTGAAAATTTTAAAGTAAAAGATAATATTATTTGGAGCCATTAATTTTGAGAGAATTTATTTTGTTCATCAGAAAATTATTTATCAGGACTTATACAATTTGAAATTTTTAACAAAATAAAATTATATTTATCAAATGTTTTAAATATGAAAGCCAACGATGAACTAATTTGGAAATACAATTTTTAATATAAATTAATAAAAAAAATAAATTGTTTTGCAAGTTGGATCATTTTGGAAAGCTCTTTTAACTCCTTTAAAAGTTAAACATGCATTTTGATTACTATTATGTCTATTTCCTATACACATAAGTTTTATATTGCAGAGGATTTGGAATTTGAGTCTAAAATGAAAAATATTTAAGCTTTAAAATTGTAAAAATCATTTAAAAATATAGCATTACCTCAAAAAATCTCGTCCCATAATATGGTAACTATTAAAATAACATTTTTATCTAATTACACTTAATTTTTGTACTGACTTACCTGTTGCAGTCCTGCTCTAGCAATATTTTGTGTTTGTGCGAAATTTTGACTATTGTAAATATCATTAAATGGATTCTGTGGAATTATTTGCTGTCCATTTAAAAAGTTTCCAACTTCATTAATTGGATGCAGTAGCAAATTAGAGCGGCGATTGTTTTGTGTAAATCTATTAAGGTTTTGTATTGAGTTTCTGTAATCAAGCTGATCTCTTAAATTTGCATCATTTAACGATGGCTTATTATTTTCTACCCAGTTTAGAGAATTTGGTGAAAATATTTTATTTCCATTTTTTTCAATCGGTTGATTTGAATTCTTAGGGAAAAAATAATATCAAATTTTAAATTAATAATTTTTATGGATATACCTACATTATTAAGAGCATTATTTTGCTTCATTGATGTAATAGTTTCTTGGTGTACATTTGTACTTTTTTCAATTGTTTTGCTTTCTTTCGATTTTGATTCTTTTATTGAAGATATAATTTTCTTAAAGTAATCAATTCAAATTGTCGATTTCAGTATCAAAGAATTAAAATTTTATCGATGTTTACCTCTAATTGTTTGATTTTATTCTGTAAATCATCTTGAACTTGCTTTAATTTCTGATATTGAATTACTAATTGTTCTATTTTGTCAATCAATAACTTGGCATCATCCTCAAGAGTTTCTTTATGATTAGTTTTCATTTCATTTTGGAAATTTTCTTGAACGTTATTTTGCATTGGATCATTTTGCTTTTTTCAAAAATAGAATTAAAAAAGAATTTTCAGTACAAAATGAATATTTTTAAAAAAATCCAATACCTCTGTAAACATGTGATTCATATTATTCGCATGATTTGTAACCAAAGGATCTAAATTTCTTTGAATATTACCACCAATCAGTGGTATGTTTTTCAATCCATTATTTAAATTGTTCTAAAAATGTAAGTACCACAAAATAAGAAATTTAAATTTAGAGATAGTTTTCTATAAAATTTACTTGACTATTACGTCTTTCAAACTCCTGACTGTAGGCTAATGTTGAAATAAAAAGTAATATTAAAATGCACGAATTAAATGTTTGCCCCATCTTAATAAAACTACTTCAAAGTCTAAAACTTTCCTGAATACTAATCATTTAAAGGCAATAATTCATAAATTTAAATCAATTTTAACTGCTTCTCAAAAAATGACAGACTGAAAAATATTAGCCAATATCAGTCTTTTACAAACTTTTTCACTCTCGTTTCTCTAAACGCAATTTGTGTAAATTAAAACTGCATCGCTGTAATCATTTTTTGAGTCACTATATTGCATAAATGCATATCAAAAATCAATCCAGATAATCTTCATTATAATATCTACGAACAAGCAGTTGACATGTTTTATAAAGCTTCATAAAACCGTCATAGGATGTTAATATCTGTAAGGTATAAGGATTTGATCAACGCTCAAATAAGACCATCAATGAAGTGGAAGATTGGAAGGATTGTTGTTCTACATAAGGGAAGAGATGGTCAAATTAGATCCATTCCTGTAAAGACATCTTCAAGTGAAGTTAAGCGACATGTGAATTATATCTGTAAAATTCCTTTCGAGATGACAAAGTGATGAATGAAATTCATCATGATTTAAGGAGGCTTGGAATTTATTTTGATATTTAGTTGAAATTGACAATTTGGAAATTGATCACGTATAATTTGAAATTGTGAATAAATAGAATTTTCTTTTGTAATTCTTTTTATTATTGGAATTGAAATACAGTCCACTGGAAAATCAACTTGCTATCGTTTTTCATGGTCCTTCGAACCTTGCGATTGGAACAGTTGGAATCTTTAGAAGTTGGAAGACATTGAGAAAAGTTGGAGAAATTCAGAAATTTGCAACGCAACGCAACACATCATAAACGCTTAAAATTCTGGTCAGCATCTATAATTGAAATTGAATTTTTGAAGTTTGGTCAAGAAAAGAATTCAGTGTTTTGGAGTTGATTGAACTGGTTCAAGAGCTAGATTCATATTATTCTTGTTAAAATCAAGATAATTTGAAAACGTGCGTGAACCCGACGCAAGAGCGCAGTTATCATCTCTAAGAAGCAGAATTTAAGTATTTGACATTGGCACAAGCAAAAGCAATAGATGCTCAAAAAATAGAAATACGATCCATTATTGATGCATATGAAATTTTGATGGAAATACATGAACCAGGAATTGATTATGAAGACATCGATGATATGAGTACAGCTTACAACATCCTAGATAATTATCTAATTAAATTAATGCAACATTACAATGATTTTCAAAACTTAAAGAAGGATGATGTTGATCTAGACAGTGAATTTTTTTCAACGTTCAAAAAGCAAATAACATCGAAGCATCTAGGTTTTAAATTTTTGTTTAATAAAATAAAAGCAAAATCAGAAAGACAGTTCGATGTTACAATTCGAGAAAATGAAATCGACGCCATCAAGTAAGAAAAGTCAAGTTACCAGAAATCAAATTGCCAGAATTTGATGAAAGTTTCGACAAATGGTTAACTTTCCGTAATACTTTCGTATCATTAGTACACACGAATTCATCATTCTCTAACATCGACAAATTTCATTATTTGAAAAGTTCTATAAAGATAGAACCTGCATCTCAAAACATCCTCAATAATTATCAAGTGACAGATGATACATATGAAAATGCTTGGGAAGCATTATGTTCATTATTCAAAGTTGAGAAAATTTACAAGACTCAAGATATATTAAAGTTGGTGGATTCATACGTCAGTATAAGGTCATCGTTTGAAAAACTGAATGTAACTGATCATGAGTTCATGGATTTGATGTACGAAAAGATGATCAGAGATAGACTTGATAAATTTACCAGAAGAGTATGGGACTTGCACATTAATACTCATAAACCAACATTTCATGAGTTATGTAAATTTTTGGAAAGAAGACATAAGTCAGTAAAATATACAGCTAGTGAATCATCAATTCCAACATCTTCGAAATATCAACAAGAGAATAAGCAAAATAGGAAAACTTTCTTGTCAAAAAACAAACTGTTAGTCTTGTATGCTCAACTTGTTCACAAAATCACTTGAACAGTAACTGTCCATCATTTCTCAGAGAGAACATTGACAAAAGATTTGAAATAGTTTCGAAGCTCAAACTATGTATGAATTGTTTAAGACCTGGACATATTGCAAAGAAATGAATAAGTTCAAAAAATTACAATACATGTGGAAATAGACATCATACGACACTTCATCGAGTTAAAGCATCAGACGAAGAAGCTTTCGAAAAACCATCAACAAGCAGTTCATCAGACAAAAGATTAGTGATAAACAATAAAGCAAAGAAGGTAAATGGCAAGTCATAAAAGCTGTTATGGATTCTGGTAGCAATGGACATGACATCACAGAAGAAAAACTAATAGAGAAATTAAGGGAATCAATAATATTCCTACTGATGTAAAATACGAAGCTGTCGCAACGATTAAGTCAAGATATCCAAGATATGGTAATTTCAAAAATACCATAACTCGATATTTTTCTCGTAATTACAGATCAGTTACCTACTCATTATTTTGAAACTAAGAAGTTTCAAATACCCAATATAATTTTTATGGCTGATTCAGAATTTAACGTTCCAAGTGATATTGACATGTTGATTGGTTGCAAGATATTTTGGGATGCTGTATTGAAAGACAGACATCAAATATCTAACAATGGATGATTAATTCATACAAAGTTTGGATGGATGTTTAGTGGAAATGCAGAATGTAATGAAAACTTAAAGACAACGTTGTTATCAATGTCACAACAGCTATCATTTGAACAACAACTGGAGAAGTTCTGGATGATTGAACAATGTGAAAATAAAGACAGACTGTTGACTGAAGATCAAAAAACATGTGAAGAGATATTTAGGGCCACAACAGTTCGAGACGGAAGTGGAAGATATGTGGTTGATCTTCCATTTAAAGTTAAGTTTTAAGTTTTTGTTGTTTACCAACAGTACAACCAGAACTTTATGATCTCATCATAAAATTCTTAACAAAACCAATAGCATTAAAAGCTGATATTGCTAAAATGTACAGACAAATTCTTGTAAATGAATCGCATCAGAATTATCAACGCATTATTTGGAGAGATGGTCCAAATGAGAAATTCAAACATTTCAACTTGAATATTGTAATTTATGGAACATCATGTGCTCCTTATTTGGCAACGAGAGCATTAAATCAACTAGCAGATGATTATCAGCATGTATATCCAAATGCTTGTGAATTGATTCGATCAAATTTTTACGTAGGTGACCTGTTGTTTACAAAAGAGCAACAAATTACGAGAAGAATTATGTGAAGTATTCGAAAAGGCGGGAATGTCTCTACGTAAATGGGTTTCAAATATTCAAGAAGTACTCTCTTCAATTCCTACGAGTCATCTTGAGAAAGATTCAAAAATCAAGCGAAATAGAAGTTTTGGAACATATTTTCAGATACATTCTCATTCAAGTTGAATTTCAAAGAAAAAAAGTCGTTAACAATGTGATCAGTTCTTTCATGTATTGCCAGTATTTACGATCCAATTGGTCCAATTATATTAACTGCAAAATTATTTATGAAAAAGCTGTGGACATGACATCATGATTGGAAGTCAGCATAACCTGATGATTTATGTGAGGAATAGACACAATTTGAAAATTTACTGATATTGGTTAATCAAATTTAAATTGATCGACAAATCATCTGTGTAAATCCAGTAAATATTCAATTACATGGATTTTGTGATGCTTCTACAAAAACATACGGGATGGTGTTGTATTTGCGAATGTCGAAAACATGTCGAATTATTACATCAAACACTCGTGTAGCACCACAGAACCAAATAACACTGGCTAGATTAGAACTTTTACCTGCTAAACTCATTGACATCATCAAGGAGCTTTACTGTGATGCAGGCCTTCGGGTTTTGCACCATGGGTTAATAGGCAATGACTTTGAAGTTCAGTCGGGTGTTAAGCAGGGTTGCATTCTATCACCTCTTCTTTTCAACATTGTCCTCGATTACATCATGAGAAGAGTCACCAGGCGTAGGAGAGGTATTCCTTGGAATGTTTTTTCTATTCTTGTGGACTTGGACTATGCGGACGACATCGTTGGCATTACCGAGACAATGAGTGAGATGCAGAGTTTTCTGGATGACCTTATTTCGTGCGCCTGTGATGTTGGTCTAGAAATCAACATTGTGAAAACTAAACTCATGCGCATTAACCCATCAAGACATACGAGGGGGTCTACTCAGGCTCTGCATATAGGGAATGAGGTGGTAGAAGAAGTGGACAAGTTTGTCTGAAGACGACGTCCGTAACCGCATTAGACTGGCCAATGCAGCTTTTGGCTCATTACGACATGTCTGGACCTCCCCCCGACTTTCGAGACGACTGAAGCTGAAGATCTTCAACTCGAACGTCAAGCCTGTACTCCTTTACGCATGCGAGACTTGGAAAGTTACAAAAGCTCTTACACAACGCATCCAAGTTTTCGTCAACAAATGTCTGAGAGCAATATATGGCATCTACTATCCTCAAACAATAAGGAACACAGAGCTGTATGCAATGACTAAACAACAAATTATTGCAGACGAAGTTGGGAAAAGGAAATGGAACTGGATTGGCCATACATTAAGGAAAGACCATACAGACATCGCGAGACAAGCGATTTTCTGGAATGTCCAAGGAAATAGGACTAGGGGCCGACGAAGAATTACTTGGCGTACAACTGTTGAACGGGAGGCGGAACAACACAACAAGAAGCTGCAGAAAATAGCAGCTTTGGCCCGGAATCGAGTGCGATTCAAATGCTTTGCGGACGCCCTACGCTTCATAGTGGAGCAATAGGAACCCATCATCATCATCATCAGATTAGAACTTAGTGGAATTTTATTGTTAGCGAAATTTGCAAAACGAATAAGCACAATATTAGGAATTCCAGCAAATGATGTTTATTTATAGAGTGACTCTTTAATTGCACTTCATTGGGTCAAGTCAGAACCTGCTAAGTTATCAGTTTTTGTTGGAAATCGTGTAGCCGACATTCAAGTAGAAGCAGAAAAATTCAATTTTAGTCATGTTCGCACAAAAAATAATCCTACAGATTTAATTTCACGAGTTGCAACAGCAGAAGAATTGAATAACTGTGAATTGTGGTGGAATGGTTCAGATTATCTTCAAGAAGATGTAGAGTGTTGGCTACATTCATTATTAAACTTCGATTTGGATAATTCCGAGTATAAAAAGGAATTTTGTCGAGTTTTACATGTAACTCATCCATCGTTGAATCACATCATTCATTATATTGAAAATAGATATTCTCATCCAACAAAGCTATTTAAAATATTTGCATCTTTATTAAGAATAATAGATAAATGGAAGAAGAAAGCAAATATCAAAATCGAACGTCAACATGCAGATTATGAGCTTCTAGGTAAAAACAAAGTAATTCATATTATACAATTACATTTTTTCCTTCAAGAATTGAAGAAGTTGACAAAAGGAAAAGAAGTTTCATTATCATCTAGTATCAAACAACTGTCACCATTTCTAGATAATTGTGGTATTATGAGAACAAGAGGTCGCATTGGTGAATGTGAAAGTTTAACATATGAAAATAAGCATCAAATCATCATGCCTAAGTGTCAATTTGTTTATAATTTGATTCGTCAGATTCATCTTGATAATTTGCATTCGACAAAATTTTCAACATTATTTTTTGTGAGACAAGTTTATTGGCCTGTGTAAGTAAAAGCGATGATTCATAAAATTATCAGTAAGTGCATCAAATGTTTTCGAGCCTCCTAAGTGTCGTAAACAAATTATGGGAGATTTACCTCCAGAAAGAGTAAATCAATCAAATGCATTTGAAAAGGTAGCTATCGATTATGCTGGACCTTTATTAATTAAAGCTGGGAAGGTTCATAATACAACTAAAATGAAGTCCTATATCGCATTACTTAAGTGTATGTCTACAAAGGCAATTCATTTAGAATTATTAACGGATCTGACAACAGTGGCTTTCATTGGCACATTCGATAGATTTATATCACGCAGAGGACTTCCAACTAATATCTACTCAGACAATGCAACATGTTTTAAAGGTGCAGGCAATGAATTCAAGAAATTAGCTAAAGATTTGGAAGAACAAATTCAAGAATATTACAATGACAAAAATATAAAATGGCATTTTATTACACCTCGAGCACCTCATATGGGAGGATTTTGGGAAAATGGAATTAAGTAAATGAAGCATCATTTAAAAAAAATTATGACAAATCGATTAATGACCTATGAGGAATTCTCAACTCTTTTATGTAAAATTCAAGCAGTTTTGAATTCCCGACCCATTACATTTATAAGCGATAATCCAAATTATTTTGAGGCTCTTACACCTGACCATTTCTTGATTGGAGGGCCGTTGAACAGTCGTTTGGAACGTGACTTTACAGATTTACAACAAGGTCAACTGAAACGATGGGATATGATTCAACAAGCAGAGCAGTTATTTTGGAAGTTTTGGTATAAGGATTTTATCAACGCTCAAATAAGACCAAAAGATTCAACAAAAAAGGTTCAATATTATTCGAATGATTTGGTTCTTATCATGGATTCGAATGTAACATCAATGAAGAGGAAGATTGAAAGGATTGTTATTCTACATAAGGGAAGAGATGGTCAAATTAGATCCGTTACTGTAAAGACATCTTCAAGTGAAGTTAAGCGACATGTGAATTATATCTGTAAAATTCCTTTCGAGATGACAGAGTGATGAATGAAATTCTTCATGATTTAAGGAGGCTTGGAATTTATTTTGATACTTAGTTGAAATTGACAATTTGGAAATTGATCACGTATAATTTGAAATTGTGAATAATTAGAATTTTCTTTTGTAGTTCTTTTTATTATTGGAATTGAAATACAGTCCACTGGAAAATCAACTTGCTATCGTTCTTCAGGTGACTATTAAAAAAATTTTAGGATTAATTGTTGTCAATTGAATTAAACCAGTTGTTGTCACATTTTGCATCACATGATAATATCATTACGCACAAGCATGTTTATCATATGTTTTTAAGCTACAACTTTTTGGTGACGTGCAGCATTTGTTGTGCCTCAATTTTATTTGTTAAATATCGTTCGTTGGATACAATTTCTAGTAAAACATTTGCTACTGAATAAACAAAACTGAATAAACAATTGACGAAATTAAAAGCTGATCATTCGTTTTGGATGGGACTCGCCTGCAAATAATTTTATTTTGGAAACAATTTTTTTTCGGTTGACTGAATCATCTGTATACATACATCCAAAAAATTCTGCGAATATTTTGAAAAAAGGTTGTTGCCATCGGAAATACAATATATTTTTTATTATTTCTGAAAAATCCTATCCTTTTGGGATTAGGGTGTTATGTCAATCGTTTTCGAACTATCTGAATAATTTTCTTGAAGTGAACATCTTCTTGTATTATCAGATATTTTTGTAAATTTGGTTTGATATGTAAGAAGTACACTCGGAATGATTTTTATACCATCATCATAGTCATCAACTGATTTTACATACACTTTTTCTTTGCTGTTCTTCGGCTTCCACTGACTTGGTTTTTTAGATGTTGCACATGCATTGATTACTTTTAATTCGATATTTGAATTTATGAGTAAGGCTTCTTTCAATTTCTTTTGTGTTTTATGATTCTGGATTTCGTTCAATTCTTGTAAATCTAAAGAGAATATGTTTTTGAAGAATTTCTTAAAATGATAACAAAATAAGAATTTACCATTCAGATCTTTTGTTCCAAATTTAATATAAGTTTCTTCATTAAATTGTTGTTTCAAGACTTCACGAGCTTTGATATCAATCACGTCTACACTTTGTACTCGCACTCGTGGTTTTTTCAAAAAGTTATCACATTCTTCCTGATCAAAATCGTTTTTGTTGCTATTCTTAAAAGTTGATAATCCTTTTGGAAATATTTTTGGTCTCATTTTACTATAACCACCTTTCAAAGTTGAAAACTTGTTTGTTCGATTTGATATTTTTTCCATATGATTATTAATCCAACTTTGACTTCGATCACAAGCATCTTTTAGGACGTTTACTGCACATTTTGATGGTGTTGTCATATTTCAGTGTTTTTAGAACAGATGGTGAAACAAAACTGAAAACCTTCACTCTATTCCTTTAAGTTTTATATATTTTTATGATATAATTCATGACTTGTTGATTCTCTTGGAATTTTTGTAATGTCAAGTTTAAAATACTATAACAGAAATCAATAGTGAATGGACTTGAACTTGAAATTTCTTTAAACGGATTAAACTTATAAAATTCAAACACCTTACTATGCAACCCGAACATACAAAGATGGCAATCATAACTACCATCACTCAAGCCAGTGATGGCCTGTATTTGACTGTACTCACTCACATACATTTTAGTGAGTCCGCTACTTTACCCTTGTGATTGCCATCACTGATGGTCATCACGATTACCATCAGTGATGACACACACAGATAGTGCGCTTTTGATAATACGCAATCACTGATGACTATCATGACTGCCATCATTGATGAAAATTATGATTGTAGTCAGTAATTACCATCAGTGATTGTAATAACTGATTGCCATCACTGATGACAATTATGATGGTCATCAGTGATGGCAATCAGTGATTGCCATAAAAAAGTTTAAAAAAATATTTTTTAATTAATCCTAAGGAACTTGTTATGACTGTTTATTGGCTTAGAGGATCTTTTTGTACTAAGATTGCTAGAATTAAACATTAAGATTTATTAGTAATGATTAGATTAAATTTTATATACTTAAAATTTTTCCGCTTTCGCCGAGATTCGAACTCACGCCCTCCAGATCGCTCTTCGTTGTTGTACCGCTCACTTATCCTCTAAGCCAATGTCTGTAATAAATCAATATTTTTTATATGGCAAATTGGCATGTATAAATGGTTTGAAATTTTCTTATAAACTTGCAATAATTTTTTCGATTCTTTCTTCTAACTTCATCAGATTATTAGTTAACTTAATTAACTTTTTATCATATGTACTCAGTGCCATCACTGATTACCATCACTGATTACCATCACTGATTACCATCACTGACTACCATGAGTAATTACAGTCAGTAATACCGAAAATGATGGTAGCCAACATTTATTATAGCAGTGATATAGAAATAAAACTGTTTTTCCATTAATAATTTTGGTCCATTAATTGGTATTCATTTATGAATGTGTCCAGAAAATCCAATGTAGTTGGTTTTTGACTTCCACAGTAGAAAGAAATAGGAAACACCATTTTTTCAAACCCCTTGATATTCCTGAAAACACAGAGAACAGGCCACATTGTCCTTTTAGTGTATGGATTTACAAAAACTTCAACACCGTCAATGTTAATATCGAATATTAATTCCTCCGGCAATTGAATTTTGCTTCTTATGAAAAAGTTTATAATGCGCTCAATTCCCAAATAAACAGTATCTCCTCCAGAAACTTTCTTCATTTCCACTTTATCAAATGTTTTTAAAAATGTTCGGGCATCAACTGGAAGCTCGTGAGGATGCGGTTTTAAAATTTTTAACAGGGATCCCATTGCGTTCTTACTTATACAGTCATTTTTCAAATACCATGACATCAAATCGTTTTTTAAATCTGGTCTGGTTTGTTCATCTGCTTCAAAGTCCTCTGAATCATATAAACTTTCCATATCATCGCTACTATCATTTATGTCAATGTCGCAATCTGAATCAAAGTCCAAACTGCTCGCGTAATCAGTTAAATTAGACTCCTCTTCGTGTGTTTCCATTGGCTCAGAGGTTTCTGCATGCGTATCTTCTGTTTGAGTACCAAATGCTTCATTTGAATGCCCACTTGTAATATTTTGATCACCTTCATCTTCGTCTTCAGATATTAAGATATGTTTTCTTCTGTAATACCTTGTCTGTTTTGAAGCGTATTTTCTACCGGTTCTTAATCAAACATTTTTTAACAAAAAAATTTTCTGGTCATCAAGTGATGGCAATCAGTGATGATAGTCGTGATTGCCTTCGTGATTGTAATCAAACATTTTTTAACAAAAATTTTTCTGGTCATCAAGCGATGGCAATCAGTGATGATAGTCGTGATTGCCTTCGTGATTGTAATCAAACATTTTTTAACAAAAATTTTTCTGGTCATCAAGCGATGGCAATCAGTGATGATAGTCGTGATTGCCTTCGTGATTGTAATCAAACATTTTTTAACAAAAATTTTTCTGGTCATCAAGCGATGGCAATCAGTGATGATAGTCGTGATTGCCTTCGTGATTGTAATCAAACATTTTTTGACAAAAATTTTTCTGGTCATCAAGTGATGGCAATCAGTGATGATAGTCGTGATTGCCATCGTGATTGTAATCAAACATTTTTTAACAAAAGTTTTTCTGGTCATCAAGTGATGGCAATCAGTGATGATAGTCGTGATTGCCATCGTGATTGTAATCATTTTTTGTTTCAAGTTTTTTTTTTTGATGGCCATCACTGATGGCAGTTGTGATTACCATTATGATTGTAGTTACAAAAAATTTGACATTAGAAAAATTTTAGTTTTAGTGAGTACAGTAGTGATGACGAGAGTGATGGGCATCATTGTTGTACTCACTGTGATGGTAGTCAGTGAGTTCCTAAGTGATTGTCATCACTCTCGTCATCACTCCGAGTGATGGCCTTCTTTGTATGTTCGGGCAATATATTACATTATTCAATTTTGTTCATGTAATGCTTATGCATATTAGGTGACTTTGTTTTATATTAACTTTGTTTGAATTTCGATATTATTTTTTATCAAAAAGTAAAACTCGCTTGAAAGTAGAAAAAAAGATTCATGAATCTTTTTAAAATTCAACCTGGTTTTTAATAAGATCAATTAAGAATAACTGATTTATGAAATTCAAATAAACTTTCAAAAGCTTTGTGGTTTTTGAATCTGACGTAAGCATGGAAAAAATAAGACATAATCGAGTGTAATATTAGCTGTTTAAATGTGGTAAAAAGGTCACTAATCATCAAAAAAAGCCCAAACAGGAGACGGGAATGCTTTAAAAATATTAAAAATACAAGTCTATACAAAACATAAAAATTTGCTACTACTTACTGAGTACTTACTTCCTTCAGTGGGGCGCACGTGTGCCCATAGACGCGTTGAGAGATCGTCTAAAGACATCTCAATCTTTCGAGACCTTCTGCCAGTTCGGGAAAAATGTATATCAAATGTTTCCAGTATATCATAATTCGGAATTTATTTGAACTTAACTCGCATTTTGGTTTAATATAAAAAAAAAACAGTAAAATTTTCCAACTCAATGATTTAAAAGCAAAAAGTCGAAAATTTTAAGAACTGAAAGCAAAACGTCCACTCTAGAGATTTATGAAAGCAATCGTCGATAGGCAATGCTGTTTGTGTTCATTGATTTTTCAAGTTGAATATAATTTAAAAGATACAAGAAAATGTCAGAAAATAAAACGGAAAATTTTCCACTGAATCAGTTTCATCATCACGTGTTTAAGCTGAAAAACAATAAGTTTAAAGATGCAATTAAATTTTTTTAATGAAATAAATCAAAAGCAGTAATTGGTTTCAGTTTTCATTATATATTTTTCTCCAAATATATACAAGTATTTAATTAATTTCAAAACACTTCATTAATCATCGTTTTTCAATATGCATTTTTGTTGCTTTTTCTATAATTCTATTTTGTCGGTTGAGAATTAGTCGTCCAAATTTACATGGACTTATACTGTTATAAATGAAATTCACAAAAATGAGATAAAGTAAAGCTAAAAATAATTTAGAGGTGAGACATAAAGAAAGGAAATAATTTTTTTTTATTTATTGATACTCAAAATTATGTTCCTTAAAAAGTTATTTTCAAGTAGTTATTCTTGAAAAACAAAAATAATTACTTTTTCTACCTCAAAAAGTGGAAATTATTTTTCCAGAGCTTCTTAATCTCTATTTAGAACACAATTATTCTCAATAGTTATTTTTATAGCTCTTGATTTTATTTTCTTTAATTTTGCATTACGATGATGATCAAACAAGTTTTCAATCAAATATCCATCAATTTTAAGCACTTCCACATCTTGCAAATATCAGCTTTGTTTCTTTCCTTCTTTATTAATGGAAATAAAAATTCAATACAACTAAAACGTAACTTAACGATAGCTTCTCATTTATAAATATAGTAAAATACATTATACATTTTCTTAAACTAATTTGACGTCATGACAATTTGGCACAAAAACATATTAGAATATTGAAGCAATTTTATACAGTTTATTTCCTTTTAATATTCAAACTAACATTATAAATTACTCGTATTGGCATAAGACTTTTTCAAATTATTGCTGCTTTCTTATTGATTGATGGTTTTAATAAATTTTTTTAAAACAAAATTAAAATTATTTTGCAGAACAAAACCATTTAATTAATTTTTTTTAAATCTATCCAAATTGTGGATTACTTTTAATTATTTCAACAGTTTGAATGCAAACTGAACTAAAATAGACTCGAATTGTTAAAACATTTACAATACATTGATGAAATTTGATTTAAGTATACTAATCTTATTGGATTAATAATTCACAAATGTCCAACAACATCTAATTCACACATGAATTATAAGGAAATTCTGTAGAATCATATTATTCATTAAATTTAAGACTTTTACATTTATAAAATATCTAATTTTCTTTCAGAATACCCTCTAGTTCTGGAGCTGTAATTTCTTTAAATATACTTTCTGTTGGCATTCTTGAGTTTACTCGCTGATGCCTAGAATTGTGACTTCGAGCTCGCTCTTCATGTGGTATGGGTTGTTCTGACCAAAATCTTATTAAAACTGGCTTTTCTTTTGTTGTCTCATCAATTGTCCATCCTTTTGGAAGCCAATAATGTGGTTTATTGTGTGTAGGAACTGGGATTTCAGTGGTTGTTGTTGTTGTCGTCGACGTGGATGTAGAAGTTTTCATTGTGCTCAGTTTTCGTCTTTTCATGCCATTTCTTGTACGATTCTTTTTTGGTATTGGCAATTGATCAATTGAATGTGATTTAGGGATGACTTGATTCTCAGTTGATTGAGAGGGTTGTTGTTGAATTATTGGTTTTGGTTTTCTTGTACGTGAATTTTTTCCTCTATTTCGATTGGTTTTCCTTTGAGTTATTTTCGGCATAAAGTCAACAGAGTTAATTTGAAACAACTCTGGTTTAGTGGGCACAATTTTTGTTTTTTCAGTTGTTGTGCTTATCGGTATTCGCTCTGATGTTGTTGTAATTGATGATAATGTTGTGGGCTTTTCCGTCGTTGGTAATGTTTGTTTCGTTGATGATTGGGTCATTACTGTATTTTCTGAATCAGTTGCTGATTCATTCATTATCGTTGTAGTAACTTCAGCATCGCTTATAATTGGCTTGTCTGTTGATAGTTCATAAACTTTTTGTGTTGTTGTAGTCAAATCATCCAATGGAATTTCCGTCGTCGTTGTAATTTCAGGTGTTACCAGCAAGTCATTAGAAATTAACTTTTCAGAGACTGGTGCGGATACAATTTTTTTAATTTCTTCTACTTTTGGTTTGGCATTCTTTGGATCTAAATTTCGCATATTAACAATTTTTTCTTCTATAATATATTCAACCTTCTTCCCGTTACTTGTTTCCTCTTGTATATCAATTGCAAGAGGAAGGTTGATTTGTAATGGCCCTGAATTTTCATTTTTATCCTCATCATAATCATAATCAGAATCTGAATTTCCATTCTTATCTGAATTTTCGTCAATTCCAAACAAATCTGTTAGCCTTGCTGCTAAAATATCGTCTTGATTAATAGTAACTGTTTTTATGCATTTTCCATTATCATCTATTCGATAACCATGCGGACAAACTCTGTCATGATTACTATATGCACTTGGGGCTATAAAAATTGATTTTGGTGTGATTTTTGATTTTTTTACATGTGGATCACTGCTCACTAGAGCTTCAGCTGATGGATCTGATGAGTTTCTTGGCGTAAATACTAACCAACTAAGATTCCAACTCTCTGGATTATTGTTCAATGGCTTTGATTCTATCGGTAATGCTAATGCTGACATTAGCATACACCAACTAAGCAATAAGATCCGATATAACATTTTCATCATGATTTTTTGTTTTTTTGTTGCAACATTATACGGTGTCGTAAGAAAATATGACGTGTGATTCCTATTTGCTTGTGGTATTTACCAGTGAGTGTGTAAAAATATAAGCGGTCAAGGACGATGAGTAATTTCAGTAACTCTTCTCCCTTTCTGTTTTATTTCTTACTACTGGTCGATCACCTATTACATATACGATTGTTAAGTTGTCTCGTCGATTACACCAGATTGTTGTGAAATATTGACAAATGATCTGCATAAAGAGAGAAGGAAAAAGAAAGCAAAGTTATGAAAAATGTATAAAGCGAAATTGAAAATAAATAAAATGTATAGAGATGAGAGAATTGGTAATAGAGAGAAAGGAAAAGAGTAAAATGAGATAAAATTTGCATTTTTTGGACTTTATAAATACATTACATGGATTTGTTATGAGGAACGATTCAGTCACTTTCTTTTTCATGCATGCGTCTGTGGTTCTCTTATTCAGACATTGACTTTAATCTGTTATGAGTACGTAAAGATGTCAAGAAATTATGAAAAAATATGATCAGTTCCAGTCTCTTATTAAAGCAAAATTTATAAATAATATGACCGTGTAAATTATTGCATTTAATACGAATGATTTTATGACATTTTAATTCATTAGTGATAATTTTTCTTCCCGGATTAATGCCGCTGGTTTATAGCAACTTTACCAGTATGTATACACTATGGGGCGACGACAGTGCCAATTTCGCAATCGTTACATATTCATTTTGATGTGTGCAAATATAATTCGAGTTGGATATGAATATATTATTATATGAAAAACTTGAGGCAAGTCTCACCAACATTTATAAGTTATAAATAGCACTCTCGTAAAAAAGCAAAATAATAATATTAAATCCAACCATGTAAGCAGTAGACTGGCAAGTACAATGTCTCGTGTTCGTCATCGTATTTTTTTTCTCCTGCTCTAGATCAGGCTGTGCCTTCTGTTATATATTAAGTGACATTGACTTTATTGAAAGTGAATTTTAAGAAATTGTTGCATCTCATTTATTATCTGTTTTTTTATTATTTTCTAACCATGCGCTTTCTGCTGCCAATTGCCTTTACAAAGCGAAAACTTATTGGAAATCGCTTATTACAGCTAATGTGCGTGCCATACGCGTTAATTGCAATTTTTTTATTTCTTTTTTCTGTTCAAAGTAATTTTCTTTTAATTTCAATTACATTAGCCTAGATTTATGGCGCTTACAAATAAAAGATAAATGGATGGATAGGTATAAGAGACGAAGCGAAAATACGCTATTACTATAAATGCTTCATGCGACTGTGACACTCTGAGTAAATATTGCACAAATGATGAACTAGAGATTGCAATTGTTAGTCGATTAACATTGATTGCATGATGGCATTGGCATTTAACGCTGCTGATGCCAACATCATGATTGTGATTCAGTATACTCATTAACCAATTTTCTACACTTTATGTTTCTATTTTTATCATTTTATAATAGATGCTTTCAATATTTCTCCTTCTATTACCGTAACTTTATGATTACTAGGAGATACGACAAAATGTAATTATCATTAAGTTCAGGACATGATATAATGCCTTCTTATTGCTTCTTTCATCATAGTGCTTTTCTATCTGTTAAAAACACTTCTCTTTTGTTCCTTACATAAAGTGCAAATTAATATTTCATTTTTTTTTTGTGGGTGTGACAATACTCTTTTTTGCTATTACCTTTTGGTTTTTAATTTTTATTGTTATTTATGTTGTAAGTAACCTTCTTTATTTATTGTTATCAGGCATTATTTTATTTTGTTTGACTCCTACTGAAATGCAATTTAACGACTACCAGAAAATTTGTTAATGAATGATTATTAAGAGACGAACAACAATCAATTAAAAAAAGATTTTCTGCAATTCTCAATTTAAGAAACTTCCTACTCTTTTTATTTTGGTTTTCATTTGTCTATGTAAGCTTGTATGTAAAAAGTTTATCATAGCTTTTTTTTGTAGATTTTGCAGCATCTCATTGTCTACAAACAATGATTCAGCATTATAATCTCAAAATAATAAAAAAAAAAGTTATCAAATTAAGTAATAGATCGTTGAGGAAGATTACTTGCTAAAATTCAAGTTTCATTGAACCCAATTCAGCTTTAAAATTCTGTCCAGCAATTATAATAAAGGAGTTCCCCGATCGAATGTTATACCACATGCAGTTAACAGCAATTACAATTAAAATTGTGTCACATGTTTTAGAGACGGACTGTGTGAAGCCTTCATCGTTTTTATTTTTATTGTTATTCATATAATCCGATGAAAAATGACTGGAGAAAAAAGATTTAAAGTTCGATTCCGGGTAAAAGAAACGAAAATAAGTATTAACATCATATAATCACGTTGCCAACATTTGCTTATTCGCAACGATTTCATAAGATTTATCTCTCATGCATTGGTGAATGAGTCCGCTTTACATATCATAGAATGGAGAAATGTGGAATTATTGTGACGAATAACATGACATACAATAAAATCAAATAATGTGATTTTAATTTGGAATTTGGATCATTAAACTTTTACATATATATATAACGTCACTTAAAATGTAATGCTCTTTACAATACGTAAAATAATTTTTAAAAAGTAAAATACAAACAGAACCAAAAATACAAATTGAGCAAAATGAGAAAATACTTTGAGCTGTTTTTTGCAAACGTTCATGCATAGGAAGTTGCCATCACTAAAATAATCTTTCGCACAGTATCTTTGTATTACTTTTTTTATTTTAAGTACATACATTGAACAATAATGATGCCGATGATAGCGAAAAGATGAATGGCAAAATAATTAGCTATATGAGCATGTAAAAATTAAGTCGCAAAACGTGGACAGATTTAAAGTGATTCTTATTAATCTCATCTCATGCGATTTTCAAGTATTTTTAAGAAATTATAAAATTTTAATTTTTACGTGAAATAAGACAGATGGCTTAGTTCGTATTTCATGCTTTCAAATGCTTAAACTTGAAGTTTGAAAATGAGAACTCGTTGATCAAATATCAACTAGGACAGGAAACAATTAGAACGAGTCAAAACTTTTCGGAAATTGCTCTACTAAGCATTTATGGTAAGTGTTCAGTTTCGTTCTAAGCACTGGTCTCGTAAATGAAATTTTCTGCACCTTCAACTATTTGTTGTATGCATTTTCATTCACAAAAAAAAATAAATAAATACATTGCATGCTTGCTTTAAACGATTCTCTGAAATTGTAATGGAATTTTATTCCATAAAGACTCATGAATGATGAATGAAATAAATTTAAGTAAATTGTACATAATGTAAGAAATATTAGCGAGACATCCCAAGGCGAAAGACGCCATCAATTAAGTTATAAATTTTTGTGTAAGGCATGCAAAGAATGTGAATTAATTTAAAGTGAAGTATGGAAAAGATAAAATCTGTTCATTGGCATGATTGAGAAGTTTCTTGAACTGTTTTACAGTTTTCTGGAGACAATGAAGATCTGAATGAATAAAAGAACCTTTTATTTATAATTTTGTTGTCTTTTTCAAAGATATAAAGTTTGAAGAAAGATGAAATGATCATTAAGATCGCTATTTTCATTCTTAACGCCAGAACAATATAGTTATGTCATGAGAATCTTTTCAGTTTGATGAACAGAAGAGAAAATGCAAAATTCAAACTTACAGTACTTTCATTGATTAAACTCTCAACAGAATATCTTTCAAAATTCAAATCAAAAAATTATCATTATTGTAACTTATCAGAATATTTTAGAAATATTTGATTTTGGTCATCAAGATATTTTATATTTTACTCTGAATGTAGAGTTGTAAAAATGATTGCATAGATACATACTCCAATTGTAATTTTCATATAAAAAAATTTGAATCGCAAATTTTACTTTACAATTTTTTCAATTCAATCTCGGTGTTTTACAGTTTAAGCTTGGTGATTAAAATTCTTTACATGGTTTTAAGTAATAGCAATTTTTTGTCAAAAACCGATTTTTTTTTCGCGAAAAAAGAATACATTTATCTTTAAAACGTGCTCGTAATCTAATCTACAAAGCCGCAATCTAATTTACGTGAAATTCTTTCAATTGTTTTAATTCGCTTCTTATTAACATTTTTTGCGCGACGTAAAGAAAAATAAATAAATTAAAGAAACATTCTCAGAATATATATTTTTTTTTTCTCAAAGCATAATAAAATAAAAAGTAGTGTAATTATGTTTGACACAGAATTTCAAACTTACTCAAATAAAAAATTTACCTTAAATAATTAGAGTGCTTTAACCTTAAATTTGCATTGTGATTACTGTTTACTAAAAAATTAAAAATCACGTACATTACGTAATCGAGCAGTTTGTGAATATTGTTTTGTAAATATTGTGGACAATTTTTGCTGAAACACGCACAGAATACTTTATGAGCAATTTCAAAAATCCAAAAAAGAGTTCAAAAAATGGATTTAAATGAAATTTATGTGAGCTTTGAACTCAAATAAAAATTTCTTTAAAATTTTGCGAATTTTTTATTGAAAATAAATTTTTTTGTTAATATTTGAGGATCATGTTTAAAGAATGTTTGCGATACATGTCCATTTCCATAATTATATTACTATTATTATTATAATTTGTTATTGATGTTTTAAATAAAAAATGTATTCTTTGTTATTGTATGTCTAAATGCTTCAGGCGAGGCACTAAGCCATGCATTGTTAAGCACTTGAGAAAAAAAATTTTTTTTTGTGGATTATTGCTATTCATTTGCGTTAGATTAATTTTTTAAATTACCGTAAGTTTTGTTATGAAAATAATCAGTTGGTTATTTTGTAATAAATCGCGATATTAATATTCATGATGTAACTTAAGATAGAACTTATAAAATGATAATATTTTTTAATGATTTAAAAGTTGATTTCAATCGAGTAACTATAATTTACAGATTAATAAAATCTTTGTATTATAAAGTATCAGTATTTTTTTAAAGTGAATTTAATTTAGTTTATCGTTCAAATTATTACTTCTGGAAAAGCAAAGGTTTCATTTTTTAAAAATAACAAATAAAATGAAGTACTTCAAGAAAATAAATTTGTTGGGATAGTCAAAATTGAATGATAAATAGAAGTTTAAAGTGAAAAGAAATTGATAGATAAATTTCAATTTTTGCAGACGATATGACTGACTTTGGTACTTTGGTATTTTTTTTTTTGACATTTTAATTTTTTTACTATGAAATTAAAATCTTTAAATGTTAACATATTTTTTACTGGAAAGCTAATTTATTACTAAAGTCATTGAAAAAATAAAAAGTCAAGCTGTCTCAAGGAGATCATTTCTATTCGTTTTTAAATTAACTGCAATACTTCTAAATGATCCATTTTTTGTGACATTGTGACCCCATACACACTCCGTTATTTTTTTCAAAGCCAAAGTCAATGAAATGTTTTCTTCAAAACTTTATTTTTGAGCATATAAGTAAACAAATTAAAATTCAGAGTCAAAGTTGTAATTTTAACTTAACAGAAATAAGAAGTACAGACTTTGTCTAGGTTCGTTTTTATAAATTATCAACTAAAGTTTTATCATATTAGTTGCACAATATTTGGAAAAACACCTTTTGATTCTTATTTTATGTATTTATCATGTAACAAATCCATGTCATATCATTGCTGCTGACGTGTATTTTTTAAAAGTAGTATGGGAATTTCCTTCATGTATTTAATGTTTATTTCCATTCACTAAACCTTGATATTATTCACAGAAACGAGAGAATGCGAAAACAAACGATCCCGTCACTTGAATCATCCCACGATTTGAAAATTAAAATAAAAATAAAGAAGAAAATAAAACCAGAAGAAAGAAAAATCGGAACTAATGCGCAACTGGATCGCATAGAAATGAAAAATTATAAAAATAAAAACCAACAACAATTCTTTCATTCAGAATCTTCATAATAATAGTAATAATGATCAAGAGCATGCTTTGCGTGAAGCAGAGCTGAGAGAATGAAGCAAATGAGCACATACACCACCAGAAACAGGCACAACAAAGCAGTGATTTATTAAATCATGAAAAGTATCTTAATTTTTCTTTCGGATTATTTTGGTTAACTACCGTTTTTGAAGCCTCTCAACATCTTAAAGAATTACTGAACTGACTGTCTGTGATCTTATATTTGTGTTTATACGAGATTTAATTCAATGATTTTTATTTAAAAAACTGCTTTTTAAATAAAATAACTTTGATGAAACGAAAAAGAATCGCATGAGATGAAACAAAAAGAAAAAGAGATTTTAGCAAAAAAGCGGATGTTGATGATTTAGTATCGAAAGATGTTTTGCCTAATGATTTTCAACAAGGAAAAATTAACGTCAATTTGAGTGATTTTAACGATCACAAAAAGTAAAATGTTATTAGAGGCTTTTCTTTCTTATTGCGAAAATTGATTGATTATTTCAACAATTAATCAAGCGAAAACTTTTTATTCCCATCTTTCACATATTGTGTGCAAAATTTAATTTTCACTTTCAATAAAATTTTACACACATGTGAATGTTAAACAAAATTAAAAACAAATTGATAGAAAAACTTCTAAATTACAATTTGTCAGAAACATACAGTGTACCATTAATGACCATCTAAAAACCAAAGTTTTACGCTTTTCTAATTTCATAATGTTTTTTAAAGCATACATTGTTGACAATTTAGTATGTTTTTTTATTTCTGTAAAGTAACAAAAAGTACGGCTTTCTTAGGGGTCGTTTATAAATGACATCCAAATTATATAGGAGCAACAAATTAAAAGTCATGTAATTTTTTGAATTTTTTTGAAATTTTGCTAATTTCAGACATTAATACATAAGAAAATGTAAGGCGATTCATTCAGCGTTTGTGACCAAAAGTTTATAGTAGTTTCGACGAACGTCATTCGTGAACTAGTCCTTACTTTTAAAACGTTATTACTTGTTCTTCTTTTTTTCTTGTCTAATTGCTTCAAAATTTCGTTAAGACTTTTTTGCGTTCTTTTTTGGGTAAAATGAGTTCAGCCATAAATTTTTTTACAAAAACATATAACAAAAAATATGCAAACGTCCAGGTTCATAAATTTCTTTATGTTTTAAAATATATTTTTACTGTAAAGTAATAGTACAGTAAATATGTCCAATTACAAAACGTTATGTAAACCTTGATCGTCCCTTTTAGGTAATCCTTTTAAACAGAAAAAAAGGTAACATGACTCAATGGTCATAAAGGAGGAAAATTGAGATAGGAATATGTAGATGGTAAGTGAGATGGATAATTGTAAATTGTTCTTACCTACATAAGCACGATCATTGTCACTTGAAAACACTTTCAAAGACTTGTTGTGACAGACTTGATGTGATGGTCTACTACGAGCTGTTTTTATTGTAATTGAGACTGTATATAATGTTAGTTCAGCTGGTTTTGTTTCTTTGAGTACAATTTTTTGTTCCAATAATTTAAAAGTTTCTTTTATTTCTCTCTTTTTTTATCTTATATTATTATTATGTATCTCAAACTAATCTCTTTTATTCTTCTGTCCTTGCAAATTTATTAAATGAAGAAAACTACGAAAAAAGAGTGTTATCACATGACTTGCTATGTAGCCCGTATATTATAATCAATGTCGTTTTTTATGTCAACAATGACACGATAAACACTAAATTAAATCGATGAATGATGTTTTAATTAATACACAACACTTTCGATATTCTCCAATTTCTTTTATTCTTTTAGCAGAGCAATTAGCGAAATCTGCTGGATGCTTCCGATTAAGCTGATGGTTTAAATAAGAAATGTTCACATATATGCAGTGATTGAATACTTAATACATATGTTTTCTTTCTTAATTTAATTCGCAACTCCGTTTTCTGGCTTACTTGCTGTTGTTTCTACTGCTGTTTATTGCTTGCTTGCTTGCTGTTGTTTCTTAATTTTTCTTTTCTTTTTTTGAGAGTTAAAAGAATGAAAATTGTCGTCAATATAGGTCGGTGCTAGCAGCGGATCGGAACATGAGCATGAACAGTATCTCTCGTTGCTGTATTTCTTTTTAAATTGTGTGTGCTTTCGATTTTCTTCACTTTTTGTTCCGAAAAGTAATTTGAAAGATTTTTTTTTCCAATTGTTAACTTATTTTTTGTTATTTCATACCAGGAAATTAAAACACCTTAACAGCGATGATTCTTTTATGAACTAGAATTAGATTCGTTTATAAGCTCACTAATTGCATCTAGTTTTTAAATGTCAGAAAACAGAATAAATTTTATCAAAATCATCTGAATGCAAACTAAAGTGCAACTTCTAGCGCGTACATAATAAAAATGTAGCGACAAGTAAATTAATTAGTAAACTATTAACTTGAGCGCTTGACTTGCGGGAGTTAATATATTTTTATATTCAAGTGATATTTATATATTGATGATGATTATCAATTTTACAGTAATTGTATTTTTCACTATATTTTTTTTTTCAATTACAATTGAAATGTCAGGGAAGTAAGGAGGAAAGAATAAATGTTGATAAGAATTTTGCTCTGTTTCTGTTTTCCACTAATGTAAAGTATTTTTCCTCAATTACTGTATATATTATTTTGCGGTATGTTTGCACGAGAAGACAATATGCTTGATGGCTTTCAGATGTCAATTAATTGAGTTTATTTCTTTTTCTCTTTTGTTTGTTTCAGTTATTTTGTTAATTAAACAAAAAATGTCTTTCCTTTATTATCATCTGATAAAATCTTTAACTTTATGAACTTCCGAATGAATATTTTTCATATATCTTGTGATTAACATCACTCGAATGAACTTCGTAAGTATTTTAATCACTGTCTGCTCTCACTTTTAATATCAGGTATTATATTTTTCTCGCTTCAAATTAATCAAAACTTTAAATTCGATTTTGTTTTTTAATATTTTTTTACATTTAATTATTTTCTTCTTCTTTTAGTCTTTAAACAAAATAATGCACAAGAAGATTAAATAAAAAAATATATATTTAATACATATAAATTTCACTCGTACTTTGCGCTCTCTGTGCAATGCACGTTATTTGCTCGATTGACAGTCGAAGACTGAAAGCACACACAAAAATTATATACACATTATGAAAATGAGAATTGTGAGTTTGAGTCTGAGATGGAAGGAATATTCACAGAAAAGAGACCCGAAAAAAATGTGAGAGTATTTCGGTTTCTTTTATTTTTATTTCGTTGTTTTTTAAAATATTATAAATCTTACGAGGCAAGCAAAAAAATTACAAAATTTGCTCTCTTTCCCATGACTGGAAATTATTGGACAGATGGGAGGAACATTCAGGTCTTAAATCTAAAATTTTCTCGTAAATACAGGTAGCAAAACATTAAAAAAGTCTGATCTATTTTAAGTAACTTTCATACCAACTCTGACCTGATGAATGTTATTTAATTTGCATAATTTAAAACATCCATAACTATTGCTCTCAAATTGTTTTTTTTTTTATTGAGACAATAATAAATTTGTCTAAATAAAGCATGACACTCACATGGTATAGCTGTACATTATCATAAGATTGACGGTTTAAGGATATCTATATAACGAAGGTGCTTATTGAATATATAAAATTACAATTTAAAATAATTGCATGTTATTTAATTACGTCGTAATCACTTCCATAGTATTTAACTTCAAATATACAGAGAATTTTTTATGATGAAGATTTGAGAATTGAATTTATATTTCTCATACTTTTTCATATTCGCTCTTTTTGCTTTGTTGTCTCGCAATTGAAATTCCCTGATTAATTTTTTGCTCACTTCATTAGTTTGATGCCTTTTTTTGACCCATGGATGTACATTGATTCTTCTCACTTGTTCCTTTAGATCAGTGTTGGACAAACTTTTTGAGAAACGGTACCCTTTGATAGTAAGCCATGACCAAAACCGTACAAGGCGTGCGATTCACGGTATTTTCAAAACAAAAAAAATTACGGCACACAGTTCGGACAACACTGCTATAGATGCAAAACAATCGGACATAATCAATCAAGTGGAAAAAAATATTATAAAGAAATGAGAAGAAGAATCGAGTTGCAGATTGTTTTAGTCAAGTCAAAATGGAAAAAAAAGAAAAAAATCATCATAATGAGACATGATGTTGTCAGCAGCCAGTTAAGCAGTAAGTTGCAGTGGCACAATGTGGTGTAAGTACATTTACTCTCAAACAAAATCTTACATTTAGAATTCCATAAGTCATCCATATTATTTTTGATGAACGATTGATGTTAATCCGCTTATTACAATGCCCTTTTCAATCCCAATCGATAGATTTTGAAATGATAACGAAATAAAAATGATTAGAGATGAATTAAAAATTCCTTATTAGAAATTGAAAGTAATATTTTAAGGATTCTTCAAAATCCGCTATTCGTAAACATGATTGGTTGATCTGTTATATACATTGCAAAATCAATCAAAATGGATAAAAATAAAATTAAAAAACGAAAGCAAAATTTACTATTTTTGCTCAAGGGTATCAAAATTGAAATAAAAACGCACTCGAAAAATACCTTATTCACTTTTATTAAACTTGACCCAGCTCATAATTTATTTTCGCTTTTTTTGTGTGGTATGAACACATACATTAATATTATTCAGGTCCGAAAAAAATTATTAAAAAATGTACTTTCAAGAGAAAAAAAAGAGAAGAAAAAAAGATAAGAGCAAAACATATTGATGCACCTGGACATAAAATTATGAAAAATATATATATTTAATGCTGAAAAGAAATTGAAAATAATAAGAACTTCAATTCAAATATAGACATTGATCTTGCTTATGTAATATCACAAAAATGCAATTGTCGTTTCTAATGTACACTAAATCCGGTAAATCCTAAAAAAGATCAATTCAATTTCAATTTCGTTTTATTTTTTAATATTTTTTCACAATTTCTTAGAAAATTTCATCTATTTGTGGGAAGTGAAGCGAAGAAATTGAAATTGTAAATTATTTACACACGTGCAAGCATCTTTTTTTTTGTATTTTGTATTGTATAGCCAGAGTTGTGTAAATCATCGCATCGATTAAAATATCAAATAATTAATGATTGAATAAACTAATTTATTGAGAATGTCATAAGCGTCGCAAAGCCGAGTTTTGATCCTGTAATTCTTAAACTGTTCCAACTCTGATCATTTATTTCCATTTATTCTATATTCTAACAAATTATTAAAGAAATATTCAATTTTTTTGTTGAAATTATTTATGATGTGGGATATTGTACACAGAAGAAAATATGAATGATCACATGCACATCATGCATCATTATTGGCAGGTCATGAAATTGTTTATATACAATAGTCACATACTTGAATCACTTGCAATTTCAATTTCTATAATTGATTTTCATTTCTTTTTTGTTGAATTCGTTTTACTTCTTTTTATTTCAAACCTTACTTACTAACTACTTGATGCGGTTTTGTTTGAAATTTTTTCAGAAAGAAAAGAAATGCGAGTTTGGGATGGATCGATGAATGATGTTTGAATGTCTCATTAAAATTGCCCACACACGTATACCTTGAAAACTTTCTTTCAATAAATTAATCTTTACATTCATTTATTATGCTGATTATAATAGATTAATGTATGTAATATTGAAAATATTATTTCTATAACAACTGTCACGTGACTTAACAATGGAAAAATTATGTGAAATTACGTTTGGTCTGCATCTGCTTGCTGTTAACTGTTGTTACATCAATTTTCTCAGAAAAAGTCGATGACAGCTCATGGAATTTTAATTTTTTATACATTCATTTACAAAATAAAATAAAAATTGATCAATGAAAAAAAACGATTGCAAAAGCATAAAAATAAGCAGGCCAAAGAAATTTTTATATTTTTTGCCGCTGCGTCAACATAACAGCGAGCAAGCTTAAAAATTGAAATCTTTTCTTTCACCTTTTCAAAAAAGATTTTTCATCAGAGATGGGCCTTTGTAAGTACTTTTTTTTTCTTTTTGTTATAGGAGACTATTGAGAAGTAAATGTTCAAGGAGAATGAGACCAATAAGCTAATGATTTAAACTTAATGGACATTACTTTTATAATATTTCTTGCTTCCGTTATTGCAATCAAGAATATATTGACATTCATTCATTAAACATGATTGTTTTTAAATGTTTTCTAATTTTTGTTCAAGTATGGACAAACTTTGTCGACAGGCTCCTGCAGATTATAAACTTTAAATCAGACTTGCGTCATTTCGAATGTTGGCAGTTATGTAAAATTTTGAAAAATTCAAATTTTATTTTCCGTTAAACCATAAAATAAAATTTTGCTTTAATTAAGCTACAGATTATGAAGCTTTTCGATCAGTATCACTAATTATGTGATCAGTAAGTTGTTAATCATTGTTTCAAGCATTTTCAAGTAAGAAAATTCCTAAATTAAGAAAATTCAGTTGAAATTGAAAAATGTCAACAAAAAAATGTAAGTGTA